AATGGTTCATTATAATATTAGAGTATTGCTCCATTTACACATCCATGATATAGTGATAGGGTAATACCAGAATATGACAAAAATCAGACATGTTTTTCACATATGTGGGATGTGGCAGATGAAACTATCTTTACATATTAATGATGTTGATACCACCAGTTTGGACGACCTTTTCAATACAAACCTAACCGCAAATGGATCAATTAAAATTTCAATGTAAATGACTGACAGTAATGTAGCTAATTCATGAATATGAACGGTTAGAGTATGAAAAACGTGACAAATTATATTGCCCCTGATTTATGGCAACTATATAAAATGCATGGAATTTTATCTCAAACTAAAGTATAATTGAAGTGGATTTTTTTACTTGACTGTTGTTTAATGACAATTCAACTGTGCTAATCATCATTTAATTGTTTACAGCACAGCATCCCAGCAGCAACACGACGTAGCAGACAATACATGTAGTGAATGGTCACTAACGTTTTATATATACAGTACGTATTGTATGCACATATAATGTAATGTATATTTTTGAACAACAGTAAAATTAAATATTGTCTACTGTATATGGATATTTAGCAACTCCAGTCCTAAGTCAATATCCCAGGCTTCCATGCAGGCTTGCAAATCACCACATGCATGTAATGTATATAACAGTAATTACCTAATGCAGTGCCGTGTTGGATATAAGAGAATGTAAAACATGGGCCATGTCAGAAACCTGAAACGTGATGATCCCCTGGGGATAGATGTTAAGCTTGTAATTGTGCCATAGCCATATACACTATTATATGCATTACATTAATATAATTAGATACTACATATTGAGCATTCATAAATGACGTGTGTATGTGCAAAAAAATGTATTCGAATTGCTTTTCTAATTAGCCTTTCATTTTTGTTTGTGTTCCTTCAATGTTTTAATACAGTAAATGTCAAATGCAATGAATATTTAAAAGGGTCTTTAATTGAAACAACATTAGATTATTTATCCCGAAGCCTGCCAGCATGCAGCCACTGACACCTAGCACCTTCTCTGTTTAATGGGCCTCTCTTATCGGAGGCCATCTCTTTTGTTGGACAGATGAAAGACTTGGGAACAATAGCATAGAAAGTCAATAGCATGAATGAGTTTCTTGCACTGTAGAGGTGATGTTGTAAAAGGTACATCAATATAAGCATTGCCTTGTTGCAATACTGCAGTCAATGCAGAGGTAAACATTTACCGTAAATGTTTTGAGAGCCCAGGATGAGATTTATCTTGTGCTGTATAAAGTTCATGGGCAGTCATCTCTTTGACTATATCATTAAATTGACAGTGCTAAACACATGCAAGGAAAAAAATGCTCTGATCAGCATAGCCTCTAAATCTGGCGTTCCTTACACAGGTTATTATTGATTATACAAAATTGCCTTTGAAGATATTAAATATATAATTAATGCTTACATTTAAAACCTAAATTGCAAAAAAGTCTCAAGGTTTTTAATGTGTGGTTATACATTATACGCACATTTTATTGGTTTTCTAAACATTGCTTTGCATACTCTTTGGTTCTTTTGGTAAAGTAATGTAGGTGATTTATTTTATACCTACGTGACTTTACCGAAAGAACCAAAGAGTATGGATTCCTGCAGTCACGAAAGCTTCAAATCAAGATTGCTTTGCATGACTATTCGAGTACAGTATTGCATAGCGCTGATGATTGTGATCCTGAATTTCCATTCTGAGCTTATATCTCAGCTCACGTCTCTGCACGTTACGGCTAGTTTATTCTGGAATCTGTGTTGTGTTTTTTCTCTCCCTTCGGTCTCTCAGTGCAATACCAGGGTCAGAAGACCTCATGGGAAAATCTATGGCAATGCCTGAACCGCCTCCATACAGCAAGTCCACAGGGGGACACTTTTAATAGCACCGTGAATTGTTTTGACACCATAGCGGAGTGTCACGATGTACACAGCTAAGTGTTTTAATGCTACAGCAGTGTTGGCAAGTCTTCGGCAGAGTGTGTTCAAGCCAGTGGTCGTGTTTGGAAGCCTACAGTGCAGTGTTCTGATGTGACAGGGGAGCTTTTGTGAGTATATAGTGAGGATTTCATTACCAAAGTAGGGCGCGTGAGAGCGTGCACTGTACAGGGGTCGACTACTTGCAAACCCATCGACCAAGCCTAGGAACGTTACCGACCTGTCTGCCGCAAAGAGCTGACAATAACATCTGCTCCTGGCGTCGTATGCTAGAATAAGTAATATTTAAAAATACTTTTTTTTAAACACGCTTTAATGAAATGCACCGTATTCGTAATGGCAGAACTGCACTATTCCAGGAAGTCAGTCCCTCCAGAAAAACGCGATTATGCGATCGCAAGATTCCACGCAAAATCAGCCAAAGTCCGCATATTTATGCGGGGGGCGCGTTTTTTCAAATACGCCGCACTTTCGCCGCATAAATTGCAGATTTCCGCGCGCAAAATATGCGGGCTTGCATGATTTCATAATCCCCGCATTTTCGTTGCAAAAAGTCACATATATCTTAGCAGAAAGTTGAAAAATGTTGCGTTTACTTCACACAAGCGCAGCCATTTCCCCTGTTGCCATGGGAACGTTATGAAGTGACGTCACTCATTACAGTTGTAAGATTGCACTTTTTTGTTAGTAGTATGTAAATTTACATTACTGTAAGACTGTACTGTTACTGTATTGCTTACGTTACTGTGCACTGAAAACACTTATTTTAACAGAAGATGTCTGTTTTGTATAGCTACCTCTGTAAAACAGGAAGCACACATTTTATTTTTTAATATTTTATTTATTCATTTTTACAGAAGTTGTAGCATATTCATTTTGTAAAGCTACAGAACTTGTTCGACTCAATGTTTTGTAAGTTTGAGCCATCTGTTTGTTAAGGTCTGAAATAAAACAAGATGAGAACTTAAATATTCCCAGCACTTTCTGTGATGTAGTATGCTTGCTTATCATAGGAAGTAATAAGAAATGACTCTTTACATTAAAGTAGTAGCCGAGTGAATAGGGTGTTGGGGGAATCACTTTTTTTTCTCTTTTTCATCAAACCGCAGTTTTTGCAAGTTCCCGCAATTTAATCGCATAAAATTGCATAAATATCCCGCATATTCCATCGCATTTTTTAAGAAAACGTGCCGCATAATCAACGATTTTTGCCCGCAACAATCACCAAAAAACTCCGCGTTTTTCTGGAGGGACTGGGAAGTGGTCGCGAAGCTTGTCACAACGTAAAGGGGTCGTGGTGATTTACAGCCAACGTCAATTGAGAGCGTGGACAATTCAACCCAAGCCGAAACATATAAAAATGAATGTTTAAAAATATCTTTAATGATAGAATATAGTATTGTCATCAGTATGACATAAGTATACCAAGTTTGCAGTCGACAACACATTGGGAAGTGGGTTAAAATCGAGTTACAATATTTGAGGATACGACAACAGAGTGAGTTAAATAAAAGCGTGCAAAATGAGCACAGCTGGCAATCTTAAGCACCATTCAATTGCTCGTGCAAGCAGAAAGCCTGTTCCCACAAATGGTCATCAGTGGTCTGACTACGTTGGTATGAAGGATCCAAAATGATGGAGTGCAATTCCAAGCAGGAACGTATCTGTGTACTTCATTGATTACCCTACGTAGGGGGCTTTGAAACCAAAAGAACACATTGGAGGTTACCATAATAATTATTATGTTAGCCGGTGGGAATAGGGAATTGTATTGGCCAAGTCTCATTACCGGTTGTGTCCGAGATGCTGTTACAAGATGCCTCTCTGCAGACCCAACCCAATGAATGAAACGCGCCCAAGAACTGCACAAGGAAGTGAAGGTAGCATCACACCACGGGGAGCTAATGCACTGTACTTGTCACTTGTTGGTAAGTGGTAAGAAAGTTAGACACTTTTATAGTCAAAGGGGGGGGAAAAAGTCCCGTACTGTGGATAGCAGGTGTTTGTGTAATTAAAGAAATGGTAATTTAGTGATAATTGTGTAACTTTTAAGCCGACCTAGGGAGGTAACTGCAAGTGTTCACACATGCACAGCTGTTTTAAATACAGTAGCCATGGACATCTATAAATTGTATGATTAAGAGAAATTAGTACCGTAAACACATTTTCTAGCCAACCACCACCACCATCAACCACCACCAACCACCACCACCAACAACCACCACCACCATCACCTACAACAACCACCACCACCAACACCTACAACAACCACCACCAACAACCACCACCAACACCTACAACAACCACCACCAACACCTACAACAACCACCACCACCAACAACCACCATCAACAACAACAACCACCATCACCAACAACAACAACCACCACCACCAACAACAACAACCACCACCAACAACAACCACCACCAACAACAACAACCACCACCAACAACAACAACAACCACCACCAACAACAACAACAACCACCACCACCAACAACAACCACCACCATCACCACCAACAACAACCACTACCATCACCAACAACCACCACCATCACCACCAACCACCACCACCAACAACAACCACCACCATCACCACCAACAACAACCACCACCATCACCACCAACAACAACCACCACCATCACCAACAACCACCACAACCACCACCCACAACAACCACCACCATCACCACCAACCACCGCCATCACCAACAACCATCACCACCATCACCAACAACCATCACCATCATCAACCACCATCACCAACAACAACCACCACCAACAACCACCACCACCACCGATTCGTCCTCAATTTCCTCAACTCCATCAGCGCGCACCGCGCTCGCCACGTTGGCACAACGAAGCGCGGTGCCTGTCACCCTCCAAATGGTCAATGAATGGAGAACAAGACACTGACGACGTCGCCTTGCGCTAGCGAGCACAAGTTTAGCCGTAGCAACTTATTATATCTGTGAATAAACACGGCGTGAATGATGTCAAATGGTCTGGCGATGACGGGGACACCACTGACCGTCTGTTCTGCGGCGGCTCAGGGGGATCCCTTCCGCTGCGATGCTGCTCCCATTGGAACGCCGTCGCGCACCATCTCCTTGTCCCCGTGTCCTCTTCCCTAGTGACAAGCTGACATTAGGGGACCCCCCCCCCCCACCACCACCTCTAGGTGACAAATTAAAAACAAAACTGCGCCCCGAGACGCTTCGTTACGCTACAGGACGCAAGGTAAAACAACAAGCGGCTGTACCCCCTCACTGTTATTGTATTAGATAGTAATTAGTACCTTGTCTTAAGCGACTCTCTGGGCGGCGGCGGGGGAGGAGGGGAGAGGCGTGTTGGGGAGAGACGAAGATACTTTGTTTTGCCAATCAATGTGTTGAGACGCACGACACAGCGAGTCGATTGCGGACTCACACGCGTGAAATAAAACTGAGGCGAAAGTGTGTGTGGGGGAGGGGCGATCTTGGCCACGCCCCATGTTACCACGCCCCCTCATGGCCACGCCTCCCTCATGCCCCCATGGCCACGCCTCCCTCATGGCCACGCCCCCTTGTTGCCACGCCCCCTCATTGACCACGCCCCCTTATGGCCACGCCCCCCTCATGGCCACGCCCCCCTATGGTCACGCCCCCCTCATGGCCACGCCCCCTCACGGCCACGCCCCCTCACGGCCCCCCTCCCACGGCCACCCCCCCCCCCCTCCTCCTCGCGCTCGTCATCACTCAATCCGAGTCGCGTGTTTTTTTTGTGTCTCCCCCTCCACCCTCTTACCCCCCCCTCTCTCTTCCCGCTCTGCTAACAACGAGGGAAGGGGGGAATTAATCTTCCGGAAGAAGGTAGAGAGGTCTTCTGGAAGTCGGTATTGATCTTCCGGAAGAGGTAGTGATCTTCCGGAAGAGGTAGGGATCTTCTGGAAGAGGTAGAGCTTCTTTGAAACGTAAACAATACTTCTTTTAAAACCCGCCCCCCGCCCCTCCTCGCTCCGCCCCCCCCCCTGGCCCAACCCCACCCGCGGTCACATCCGCGATCTCATTGGCTGTTGCCGTTAAAGTTGCTTGGCTGCTATTGGTTGAGACCGTCGCTAAGCCACGCCCTCACTATTTAAGCCCCTCCTTCTCGTTCACCCTTCGCTCCGCCCCCACGGGTAGCGGCCACGTGAAATTGTTAAAAACGTGGCGCGGTACAGTGCACGGTGTCCGGTCTAAATGAATGGAAGCGATGCATTTATTTTAATTTTTTTGTTTTTACTTCTTCCATTTTAATTGGCCAAGGATTGTGCGTCGTCTCCGTCCGGTTGAATTCGTCCGGCGACCAACGTTGACGGTAGTTTCACGTTGAAAGCTGTTGTACGTTTGCCGTACTGTATTTCCGTATACCCACGTTGGCCGTCGTTTCTTGCCGGTCGGTTGTAATTCGTCTTAATTGTCAATTATTTTGGTCGCTTCCCTTAAAAGAATATATATAGAGGCTGCTGTTTTGCAATGGCGGTCACGAAAAGAAAACCTCCTACCCAGGACAATTCGTCGAAAATTGAAAATGTCAAGGTAATGAATGATGAGTGGTATAAGCACACTGCAACACAGTAAATGGGTGAACGTGCAGCCCTGCTCTCTAGAGAGCCCCTTCTAAAGGGCGTTTGGCCTACTCTTCCACACAGGACAGACACAAACAGGCTGGGCGATAAAACTGATAACTTGCAAATTGTTTCAATATCCGCCCCAGGAGATGGAACCGGTGACCTGGATTGCAACACTACTGTGCTAACCATTCCACCACGGCCGCCCACAGAGTATAAGCTAGTCGACAACCGTAACATGCTGAGAACCATCATGGGACTAATTTACACCAGACACCCCTGGCTAAAGATAAGCTATGAAGATGATTAAAACATTGTATGGGTCTCCTTTGGAAAGGAAACGTTTGCGTGTGGCTTTTTACAATATTTTTTTTATATGATTGTATGCGCAAATTTCGGAATTTAAGCCTTCAGCTGGTTGGTAACAGATGGCAGTGGAGAAATATCCATTGTGCTGGGCTATGTGAACATTCTATGCTCCATGCCTACACGAACCCGCGCTGACGACCAGCCTGAAAAAGTATAGTGCACGTAACCCACACGGTTTGTCGATTGGGGAGGGTCCCCATCCTTGAGTAGATTGGTAAAAATCTGTGCATGTCCACGTAGGCGAATAGAACATGCAGCTGTAATGACTGCTGAAATGCCATGGCTGGGATAAGAGTCGATTGAGCGTGAGTGCGCATAACTGTGCGAACACAAGTTCAAATCCTGACCAGGGTAAACTTGACCCTCACATCATCTTTGTCATTCCTCTGGTGTCGTAAAATTTTAATGAACCACTAACCCAGCGAGGCTGCACCATATGATGGTAATACCAAAAAATTAAACCGTAAAAACAAAGTTTTTCACTATAAATCCTTTATATGCGTGGCGGCTAGAGTCCTCTCATCCTCTGGCTTGAGATGGCTGCCACCTATGGGTCAGATGATTGCCTGCCACCATTAAGCAATTGGTAATTAAATATACATTTTTTTCCTAAAAAGTGTAAAGTTATAGAAAACATTTTTTCACGAAAATAAATTGTCACGCACAACGAGTCTATGTGCAAAATGTCAGCTCGATTGGATCACGGGAAGTGGGTTAAAAAACGACCGAAACATTTGCACGGTCGTAAGCGCGCAAGCAAGCAAGCAAGTGAACTTAATATAAAGGATTTAAAAATGGATGTACTTTGGATGGGATAGGCCCAGTTCTCGTTTGAGCAAAAATAAAGTACTTTCAATGAAAAGCTCGATCGATGTATATTTTAATTGGCACGAGAAGGATGTGACAGGATGTCGAGCAGGTAATCTTAATTGCGATGGAAGGTGAACTTGCCAGTGTCATTGGGATGAGGTGATGTTTGGGTGGTCCCAATGTGTAGTGATAATATACCGTCAAACAGGACATGCCAAGTCCATTCGTATAACGCTTTTGATTTCAGCTTTTCATTCTGAATACAATTTAGTACGGTGTATCTCGGTTTAGACTACAGATATCTGACTTTATAAGACGCAAGTCATGAACACATATTTGAATACACATGACATGAAGGAATGGCTTTTGGTCTGGTTACTGCATCCTTGCGTTTTGATTAAACATTGTCCATGAATGCCAAGATCAAACCTGCCCTTTCAGGTTTTGAAACATCCATTACTGTTTCTATGCTAGCCATGCATGTCTTATTCATACGCATACATTTTTAATCCGTTCACAATATGTTTGGGGCGACCGCGTCACCCGGCATGACGCACACTCGTGACCCGAACTTTCATTCTGTCACAATTGCCATATTCTCCAAATTATCTCCAGGCTAATAGCTTTGGGAGGCTCACGTCAGCGTGCACATTCCTGTCCATACTCATTCATTGTCCCCCTTTTTCAAATGGGTCGTGATGTCACGAGAGACTGCGGAGCGGCAACTTGACCGTGAATTCTTCATTCACCAAATGTTGGAAAGTATTCATCCTGTCCTTTGGCAGGTTGTGCGAGAGACACTGCAGTTGCTCTCATTCTAAACTTTCACGAAATAACCCCAAACCGTGTTTAGAGGTGATTGAGAACGACCTACGGTTTTGAGCATTTACATTTGTATTTATTATTTTTTTGTATGTAGATTTACAATGCAATTAAAAGAACCCCGAAAGGCAGATGATTAACGTAAAAAAACACATTGCTTGCAGCTGTGCATAATTAATTTTTCAATACATTTGGTGTAAATTGGATGTTTGCACAAGTTGCCGCCAGCACCTGATGCTGTTCCATAAGCCACCAGAATAATGTGTATGCCTACTGTTGTTTCATATTCTTTTTGTCAAAATCCAAAGCATTGATACTGGTGCGTGGAGCCATACAAGCCCTTCAATACTCTCAGTCGCTCACGCCCTCCAGAGTGAATTATCTTACGGTCTTCAGCAGCCCTACCTCTCCATCTTGTTGAAAGTCTTCCCCTATGGCTTAGTTACCCTTGGTTTATACTTACTGTACTCCAGGATTCTCCTGGGCAGCCTTTCATCTGCTATTCTTAAACATTGAGCCAACCACCTCAGTATTTTTGTCTCTCACCACTGACTTTCCTTGAATTCATGGTCTACTGTGTTGTCTCCCTATCATATTTGATTGAGAGTCATTCCATTCTACTCCAGCTTACCCTTGAGTGCTCTCATCTCCACTGCCTCCAGTCTACTAACATCAGTTTTATTCAGTGTCGCTCATCACTAATCCATATCGTAAGACTGCTTTAACACTACTCTCGTGCATTCTGGTAGCATATCTTTGTTTCCGTCGGTTTTGTAGCTTCTGTGCTGCTGTTACTATCGCACAACACAGTGTTATAGGTTTTGATTATTTTATTTCACCTTTGGGACAACAAAAATGTTCTGCAATGTCACTAAGTAGATGTAAATACTACTGTGTGCAAATTGTGCTGCAAAAAGCACCTGCATTTCACGGTCTGAAAAGCGTGGTGTTCATCGGAGAGTGATGGAGCAATCGTGCCCCAGGTTCTGTCCAGGTCACGTGAAACCAGTCGGCAGGGAGAGCGGAGAGGAGGCGAGGGGAGAGAGACGTCAAGCGTGGCGGGAGGGAGTACTCTGAGGCCGCTGTCATGCCTCCTGTCTGTGGGAAAATACGCGCTGTTCCTCCTCTTTCTGCCGCCCTTCCTCAACTACGCCTCTCTGCAGAGAGAGGCCAAGATGCTGAAGCCAGCAGGTACGCACGGCATTGTCAGTGTCTTAACTGGAAGCCACCTGTCTCTTCCACGCTGCGTTGGGCTGGCTCATGACGAGCCAGCCCAACGCAGCCCAGGAGACACCAGGGTTGTTTGTCCCTCTGGAAGCTGAGCTGTCGCACTGACGTCACACGCAATTAATCATTGGAAACGCTTGTAGATGACATGGTGTCACAGTGTCTGTGCAGTGTACTGACACGTCGTATGAAATAAACACGGCATTAGCTGCCCCACCTCTAGTCCTGCTTGGGCCCAAGCCAGATTCATATGTCTTGGTGTGAGGCCACCTACATCATGGTTTGGTTCGGGTTCGGCATGGAAAATAGGCAGTGGAAAAACCATGTGTATAATGAGGGTAACGCTATGTCTCAGCTCAGATGTGCCAGTTGAATGGGACATGCGATTGACACAGCCTAGCTGCCTGGGTATTTTTTAAAGGACTGCACTACTTGTGGGACTCAGGTCCATCAAGAATGGCTGTTTAGTCTCATCTGCGCTGTATTCAACCACCACACTGCAGGTCAAAACACATCTCATTTTGCTTCATTGCACGCACTGCTCGACTTTGGAATTCCCTCTCATCGTCTTCTTTTTTCAAGGTCTCATAACCTTACTCAATCGACGAAATGTATTGCATTTTAAGCATTACACATTTAAATGTGCTGTTTGTTGAAGTGCCTGAATAACTCGCCGTTTTTTTTAACATAAACTGTAGAACAACGATACGCTACTTAGATAATGCAGGGTTCTTTAGTCAGAAAAAAATTCCGCCCCTTGCATTGACAAGAAAATCAAATCAATTTTCAGGCAAACGCAATTTTTATTAATTGAGCAAGGCATTGTGGTTCCCTGCTCGTAGTAAAGGTTGTTATTAATTTACAGAGAAATTACGTGGTTTTTCGTGTCCCCTGAGATGAACATGGCAGTGGCGCGCAATAAATAAAGTCCGTGTAAAGAAATCCACCGGATGCTATTTTAAAACCGTATGAGATTACCTTGCGGCAGTAGTCCCTTTATTGACTTCAAATTTGGAGGCAAAATATGTTTAGCATTTCACCCAGGGCTACTGAAATACAAGAGCGCTCGGTGAAAAGGTTTCTGATTCGGTATCATTGCCACTAGTTACCATTTAATTATTCATTTGAGAGGTGCTCTGGATTCCAGCTTCAAACGAAGCCAGGATATATTGGGCTACATTCGCCTATCCTCAAAATACCAATGAGTATCCAGATAAAGGTTGTCTTTATTAATACCAGATGAGAGGACCTATGCATCTATATTGAAGAAAGCAAAGGTCATGAAATGCTGTTTTTTTATTGCACCTTTGCTCATATTTTTTTTGTTATTGGATGCTCAGATGCTCCGATTGCAGTATGGTATTCCAATGTAGACCCGACTACATTCATCATTTTTCCCCCTTTATACCGTATGTGAGCGCATTTTCTCTAGACTGAACATGCAAGTTTTGCAATTTGGTGGAGCCACAGTGGTTTTTGCACTGCGGTATGACAAAAGGGCTATAAATTATACTTTTTATATTAACCTTTTAAACAATAAAATGTATTTAAAATATATTAATCAATGCACTGCTGGATGAAGTCCTCCACACGCCACAAATTTGTGGTGGTTATTTGACCGTACTTTACCAAACTGGTCGGCATGGGTTGGCAAAGGGAGGCCCCAGGGTTGTTTGGGATATTGCTTGCCACTGATGTTAGTCTTGGCCAAATCCTGGTCCACTCGGCACTGGGGAAGTTAAGAGTGGCTGTCCTATGGAAAGACTCGCCCCCACCGTAGGAACGCGGAATTCCCACCACTGACTGGCTCAGGGCGGCGGTAACAGCAGCTGAGTGGCAGAGCAGGCTCAATTGTGCTATTAAACCACGTTGACTTGTATTTTACATATGCATGTTTCTTCCATATGTATGCGTTTCTTTTTATTTGTTGCAACGAAGTAAATTTATCTTTGCTTAAAGTAAAAAATGGCCGACGAGCTCTTGTTGTGTGTTGCGTCATTCCAATGACGTACGTGTATGTCATTCCGATGACGTACGTGTATGTCATCAGTTTTTACGTACGTCATCGGAACGAAATCGGAAAAAAAATGCACATAAAATAACATTATTGGTATCAAGGCTCCCACAAGGCCATGCGGTAGGGCGTGTGGCACAGTTTGGAACCAGCGATCATAGAGTGCGGTCGTGTCGCTACAGTTCTCTGCGGTGAGTACATTGTGTTTAAAAACAACAGTGCTATGCATCTCTAAAAAAGGAACGCTAACCGCTTGCACTTTCCGAGATTCTGCGGTGAATGGGACCCACCCTGCAATTTGCAGTCGTCTCGGAACGGGAAATGGTTAATAACATGCTCGACAATCTGCGTGCTCTGCAGGGGAGGTGCTTGACATCGGGCTGGGCCAACAGCTGTACATGAGCTGTCTAGGAAGCGGCGTTCCAGTCGGTAAGCGGCTCGCACCGGCTGACTTCACGTTGAGGTGTACACCTCTCTTGCCTTCACGACACGTTGGGCGTCGTGTAACTTCTCGCTATATCAATTACAAAAACACTATCTCCTGTAAGTGCGTGTAAGTAAAAAAAAAGAGGCTATTTCGCGTTACACGCTGTGCGCCGTAGGATCTTGTAACAGTGTACCCTGGGGAATCTTATCCTCAGTTAGTGGTGCGGTATCGAATGAAAACGGACGCAAAAAGTTTGTGCGAATACTGTGAGTGGTACCTTTATCCAATACATGCCATATTTGTGCATTATTCCCAGCTTCTATATGCTGCAAAAAATGTGATAACAATTAGCAAAATTTCACTCTGCAATGCATGTGAGGTATGGTTTATAATAATGGTTGGTTTGTTTCTACTTTTTTTAAGTGTCTGCTGGATAATTCCCATTGCTGCCAGTATCAATGTTCATTGGCAAACTGAAAATCTGTATTTTGCACTGATGAGACCTCATCAATGTGCTGGCGTCTATTCAACACTGCTTACTGCCATCAGATTATAATCTTTGATGAGATTGTGTTAATTCTGCAGAAAACGTTGTGGTCATTCCTCTTGCTAGAGATTAGATTAATGCAGCAATATTAATGTTGAACTCAACTCTCGTAAGCGTGAATCTGTGCATTAAATTACTGTCGAGAAATATTTTTCAGTACTAATAAAAAATTCGGCCAAATTTGAAAAATTTACCACAAATTACTTTCTTGGAATTAATGTTGGAATCATCACCCCCTGCTGCAAAACGTTGGCAGAACCCTCCTGAAAAGGAGCCCTGATACGTATATTGAGGCTTTCCTGGGTAAACAAGAACAATAATGAATGCTTTACATGTGTTTAGAGTCCTTCAAATGTGTGAGCATATCCATGTGTTTAATGTCACGTATAAAATCTCTCCACTCTTTAGGCTAACCTTTTTCCATCCATTTTTATTTTTGGTGTGTCACTTGTATTCTGATTTATTTTTCCCAGTATGAAGTGCAATATATTTAGCTAAAAATATATTTTGACATGGATTTGTCAAATGAAATTGATGAAGACAATATGATTCTTTCAGCACATTGTTCGGAAACTTGAAAATCCTACTAAAATATAAATCTACTAGCTGTACTACCCGGCTTCGCCCGGGACTTGTATCTACCACGGCCGGCCGCCTTTGTCTCCCCAGTGGCGATGTTAATACGCTACAGTAGTTAAGTTACTCGTTTGAGGCAGAGTCGACCTAGGGGAGGTTCAAATAATCGTCACCGGTGGTGGCCGTGAGCGGGAATCGAACTGGGTTTGCCGGGTTGGTAGCGCAGCGTAGCGTTAAGCACTACACCCACCGCTCCTCACACACCACACACGCACAGACACACACACAGACACACACACAGACACACGCAGACACACACAGACAGAAACACACACACAGACAGCACGCTAACCACTACACTACCGCTCCCCACACACCACACACGCACACACACAGACACACACACAGACACACACACAGACACACACACACAGACACACACACACAGGCAGCACGCTAAGCACTACACTACCGTTCCCCCTACACAACACACGCGCGCGCGTCCATAGGTACACATACACGCGCTTGCTGCAGACACACACGACTTTCAGGGTGCATACGGCAGTAAACGACTGAAATAATAAAGCGGCAATGCTGTGTAAGGAACGCCTTAGACCCGCATTATACATTTGTGTAATGCGAGCGTAAACACACAAACACACACAAACACATACACAATACACACACACATACATGCAGACACACAGACAGACACATAACACACATACATACACACACATACAAACACAGAAACACATACACACACATACATAGACACACACATACATACACACAAACACATCCACAGACGTACATACACACATACATACAGGCACGCAGACATACACATAAACACATACAAAAAAACCCACATACATACACACACACATACATACACACAAACACATGCACACACATACATACACACATGCATACAGACACACAGACATACACATAAACACATACACACATACACATGACCCGGCTTCGCCCGGGACTTGGATCCACCACGGCGGCAAAACCGACATACATACACACACAGACATACACACAAACACATACACACACATACATACACACATGCATACAGACACACAGACATAAACATAAACACATACACATGACCCGGCTTCGCCCGGGACTTGGATCCACCACGGCGGCAAAACCGACATACATACACACACAGACATACACACAAACACATACACACATATACAAACACACATGCATACAGACACACAGACATACACATAAAGACATACACATGACCCAGCTTCGCCTGGGACTTGGATCTACCACGCCCAGCCGCCTTTGTCTCCCAAGTGCCGATGTTAATACGCCACACCAGTTACTCGTTTGAGGCTGAGTGGACCTAGGGGAGGTTCAAATAATCGTCACCGGTGGTGGCCGTGAGCGGGAATGGAACTGGGTTCGCCGGGTTGGTAGCGCAGCGTAGCGTTAAGCACTACACCCACCGCTCCTCACACACCACACACGCACAGACACACACACAGACACACGCAGACACACACAGACAGGCACAGACAGACACACACACACACAGACAGCACGCTAAGCACTACACTACCGCTCCCCACACACCACACACGCACACACACAGACACACACACAGACACACGCAGACACACACAGACAGACACAGACAGACACACACACACATACAGACACAGACAGCACGCTAAGCACTACACTACCGTTCCCCCTACACAACACACGCGCGCGCGTCCATAGGTACACATACACGCGCTTGCTGCAGACACACACGACTTTCAGGGTGCGTAAGGCAGTAAACGACTGAAATAATAAAGCGGCAATGCTGTGCGAGGAACGCCTTAGACCAGCAACACATTTGTGTAATGCGAGCGTAAACACACAAACACATACAAACACATACACACACATACACACACATACACACAAACACATACACACAGACATACACATACACACAAACACACACATACATGCACACAAACACATACACAATACACACACACATACATGCAGACACAGACAGACACATAACACACATACATACACACACATACATACACAAAAACACATACACACACATACATAGACACACACATACATACACACAAACACATGCACACACGTACATACACACATACATAGAGACACGCAGACATACACATAAAGACATAAAAAAAACCCACATACATACACAAACAAACAAAGATCCCCCATATAGCCTTAACAGACTGTTGGGGCAAGTGCTGTTAGCGAGCACCTATGAAGGCCGGAACGGTACACGAGGGGGTGAGTGGCCAGCACCACGCCCGACCGCCTTTGTCTCCCCAGTGGCAATGTTTACACACCGCACCAGGTACTCATTTGAGGCTGAGTCGACCTAGAGGAGGCCCGGGACCGGTTCAGATACTCGTCACTGGTGTTGGCCGTGAGCGGGAATCGAACCCGTGTCGCCGGGTTCATAGCGCAGCTCGCTAACCGCTACACTATCGCTCCCCACTATATACATACACACACACATACACACAAACACATACATACACATACATACACACATACATAGAGACACACAGACATACACATAAACACAAACACACATACACATGACCCGGCTTCGCCCGGGACTTGGATCCACGATGCCCCGCCGCCTTTGTCTCCCCAGTGACGATGTTCACACACGACAGCAGTTACGCGTTTGAGGCTGAGTGGACCTAGGGGAGGGCCAGGTCCGTTTCAAATAATCGTCAGCGGTGGTGGGCGTGAGTTGGAATCGAACTGGGGTCGCTCAAGCAGCTTAATGACTGTTTGTACAAAGAACATATAAAGAATCGATTATAATAACCAGGCTACAGTCCACATTATAGACTGCCAGTACACGCAGTCAGCTTCATAAGCAGGCTAGAGTGTACATGATAGAGTGCCAGTACGCTCACCGAGCTTAATAAGCAGGCTACAGTGTACATGATAGACTGGCAGTACGCTCACCCAGCTTAATGAGTATTTGTACAGTGAACATTAAAGTAATCGATTGTTGGCGCGTTGGGTTTAAAAGTAATATTAATAGCACACATTGTGGTGGGGGTGTAGTGAAGAGTAGGAAAAACTTTGATGAATTTACCTCAGAGTGGCGTGGTGGGTGTCGAGGCCTAGTAGCGTGCAAAGCCTGCGGCCTCGCCTAAAATTGTCGGCTTGGAAGAGGCAGGGTACGGGTGGCGTTCCTTCCCCCCCCCTCAGCGCTCCAACAATACTGTGTAATGGCTATTATTTAATTAAATACGGAGCTTATGAAAGTGGCGAAGGCGTGGCTAGCCGTTGGCAGGGGCAACCGCCGTCCAATGAAACTGCAGCCCTTGGCGAAGGCGTCGCTAGCCGTTGCCAGGTCCAATGAAAGCGGCGAAGGCGTGGCTAGCCGTTGCCAGGGGCAACCGCCGTCCAATGAAAGTGCGTATGGGCCGAAATACACACACACACACACAGACAGACAGACATGAACGATTTTATATATATAGATTCATTGGCAGTACATTTGTACTTTCAAGTCGATCCATATGCTATGGTAATAATTCATGATTGATTATGAAACTGAGCACGTGGATTTCTGCCCTGGATTTGTCAGATACATTTGACGAAGTTATGGAAAGCTTTTGTCAGATTCCCAATGGATTATTAGTTGACGGGCCATGAACCAGAGAAATATTGGCATTGCGCAACACTTTTCAGGAAATTCATATTCCGTAATGACATTAAATAAGAACGAATATGCAAAATCGGCACATTAAACCAGTGAGGCATACCGCGGTTGTTTTGCCATGCAAATTCTGCGTACACATTCTGACAACAGCCTTCAGTGGCGTTCTGTGTGGTGGTGAGTGTGGACAGACGGATGTGCTGATAATCAATCCTGAGGGCTTGTTGTTCATTGCACACCACTTGTCAATGTTTGCAAAGCGTCGCTGGTGCTGTCTTGCATGCAAGCTAGCGCCCAGAGCTGTGAGCACAACAACACACCGTCAGCTTCGTACGAACAAATAGAACGGAAGTCGCCTTGTTAAATTAAGTGACGCAAAGAACGTGTCGCTTGTGTGCTCATTTGCATGTAATTACTGCAATTGGAAAAAGGAAACCTGTTCGGGTAACAAGCAGAACAAATACTGAAAATGGAAGCTGCTGACAAGACGTATTACGTTACAGTACATGTCACAGTCGGGATGCTACCATGGTGTAATGGTTACCAGACTGGCCTCTTGTCCACCCAGCAAAAATACATGGACACACCTCAGTCGATCGACAGGCCGCGTGTGGTGGGGTAAAGTGTGGGTATCCTCTAGAGGGGCTTTGGAACTAGAGCTCCCTCCATTAGTGGCCCTTCTGCTAGCAGTGCCACGAGCAAGCAATTGCAGTGCTGCACCTTTACTTTTGTTGGCATTAACAGTTTTAATCCACGAGCAGAAAGCTCATTGCACAAAACAACTTTTATAATGCAGGTAAGACCAAAATTTTCGGATCACACTCAAGGGGTAGACGACAAATATGTAAGTCCGATATTAAAAAAGTGCAGTCGTAGACATTAATACATTGTGTGTGTGTTTTTTTCAGTATGGTAACCGTAAACATCAATATACTAAATGGCTTTATTTTCCTGGCCTAGAGATGGTTGCCACGTGCTCTGGTTTTCTCAGGATTGTTTTCTTTCTTGTAGCTGTCCTAGGAAATCTGCAAGTCTTCCTGGGGCATTAAATGGCCAATTTTTTTTGTCAGTTGCATAATAATATGCCACTTAAGACAATGCATCAGCACACTGTTCTCCCCTCTTCCAATATTGTGAGATCCAACGATATCTTCAGGTTTTTTTTAACCTCAGAGGTGGCAACTCTCATATACAGTAGAATCATTGTAAAATATTAATTCAATGGATTGCATTCTGCATTTTAGGAATGATTACTTTTTTTTTATTAAGCACACTTCCTAATGTCACAGAAAAAAATGACGTATTTTTTTGCCTAATTTAAAAATGTGTTTAGTGCTGTCGTGCACTACGGTAAGAACATGTTCAGCCGCACACTCGTGTAAAGCCACACCCTGCGTGCAATCAACGTCACGTTAATATCCAACATACTGCGAATCGCTTTCATTTAGGTGCAAGGCAGGTGTAAGATATTAACGAGGCCTCGGTTGCGGGGTGGGGGGGGGCACTATCTTCGTGGCTCAATATTTGTATTATTGTTATGCCCCGGAGGCGGCTCTGTTCATGCTGCGTCATGCCCGGCTGCTTGTTTTGGTTTCGGATGCCGCGTCGGCGGCATCGCTGCTCTCCGCTGCACATTGCCCGAGGATTCTTAAGAGCTCCTTTGTGGGAAGGCAAATTTGCGTGTGAACACGTGCCTGATTGACTGCGCTCGTGCATTCCCCTGCCGTGTCATGACAGTGAGGTTTTTGGCACGCTTCCTGGAACATAACTCTGCTACGTTGAAAGGTGCCAGTAAAATATGCCCTTGGAGGGATGGGAGTTGCCCCTGGTGCAAAGATGCGCTAACGAGTTGGAAAGGCCAGTACAAAAGGAATAACGCTCATTGAGACTCCGACAAAGGAATGGGAAAGCAGGGGGGGGGGGGGAATGGATACAGCAATGTCCTGAAATGTATAACGCTGCTCCTATTGTGTGTCCATTCCAGTTTTGTTTGATGCACCAGCGGGGATGTCTTCCGACATCTGGATTGCAATGCAGAAAGAGCTGTCCTCAATGACCAAGGTACTGAAGTAAACAAACAAAGACGAAGATCCCTTGTATAGCCTTAACAGACTGTTGGGACAAGTGCTGTTAGCGAGCACCTATGAAGGCCAGAATGGCACACGAGGGGATGAGTGGCCAGGAACCACACCTGGCTGCCTTTGTCTGCCTAGTGGCGATGTTCACGCACCGCACCAGGTACTCATTTGAGACTGAGTCGACCGAGGGGAGGCCCAGGACTGGTTCAGATAATCGTCACTGGTATTGGCCGTGAGCAGGAATCGAACTCTAGCGACGTGAAGTGTCGAAGGCTCGCTGACAGGAGATCTCGAAACAGACACAGGTGCCATGGGTAGGCTGACTGAGATGACCGGTAAATGCACCAGATATACCCCCTACTGCGACAATGAACAAAACACACAGACACAGGTGGTGTGAGGAAGAAATGTAAGAGCATTCAGTCGTTTTTGCAGGCCATAGCTTTTACAAATCAAGCGGTTTCACTCTGCTTTATGTATGCATGTTGAACTTCTTTCGCACTGTACGTTGCCAACTGTGCTAGTCGGAGGTGCGGGAGAAGGACAACAAACTAAACACAAACAGCAGTTTTGAAGAAATTAGTTTTCAATCTAGATTAAAAAGTGCATATCTTCAGTGGCTTCCTAAAATCGTCTGATATTAGGAATGGGTTTTGCTTCAACCTTGCCATGCAATTATGAAAATTACAATCGGTCATTGTAATGCATAAGTGGTGTTCACTGTGTAATGACAAGGTGACACCTGCTGGCCTGGGAAGGGATTCACGAGTACGGGCACAGAAGTAACAACCAATCGGAGAAGGAGGTGTATCTGGGGCAAAGGTCACAGGTGGGGTTAGCCCAGATGCTCCGGGAACCTGCTGGAAGGTTCCACGAGAGGGCGTGGCCGGAGGCGGGGCCTAGCCACGCCTGGGGGGATATAAGGGGGAGCGGACCCGGGGTTCGGGGCTCGTGTGCGGGGTCTTGGATCCAGGCTGCGTCGCTGCTCGCCGACATCTCTCTCCGTGGTCCGGCCACGTGGAAGATCCCCTGCGTGGTTTCCATCGCCGTCATCGTCACGCCGCCAGCCAGCGGCGTAGCCGAGTGGGCGCGATGGGACCACGCCGAGCGATCGGCTGTGCGTGCAGCCAGTGGAGGTGTTAATACCTAGAGTTAACTCGGTGTGAGGAAGAACTAGTGTTGGCCTGTGTTGTGCCCAGTGTGAGTAAAAAAAGTACCCTCTACACGACGTGTCGCGGAAGTTGCTCATTACAACTGGAATAACAAACTGTGACTCATTCACCAGCTGTTTGTAAATTTGAACCATGGCCAATGTGTGCGGAGCATCAATAGCTCAACATGCCCGTATGAGCCTGTGGCTGAGATGCAGCCTATTATTTTTTTCTAATAATGTAATTTGTCTTCAATGCATTTCAAAAATATAACCGCTCACCGTATATATGATTGCGCTTTTAGTTATTTTTTTATATTCGGTTGACCTTGCTATTTTTTTTATTGGCCATGAGAGTTGTTTTTGTTTAGTTTTTCCTCCCCTGTGCTTTACTTTTGAAGTGTTTAATTCATACTCTAACTCATCCGGTGCATTGAATGCTATCTCAAGGGGGCCACTCATCCAAGGCAAATAATTGTGGCTTCAGTCTAGGCCATTGAATACGGTGGGACGACCATAACAGCAGCACATTTTGTGTATTTTATAAAATACTACGCTTGCGATAAATTCCGTTTTCTTATTAAGTGTAATCTTTTTTTATATGACCATATTGATTATTTAATTCCACGCGTTTAATTATCAACTAAGCACATTCGTGTCTTAAGCAAAAATCGACGTGTACTTTGAGCACAAAATGCATGCAATCTCTTAAAAATGAGGTTTAATAGGATTGAAATTAATAAGTAATGTCCTGTGCATCCCAGATTATGAAACCCAATATACACAATTGCTTAATTATTTTCAACTTGATAAATGCTATCGCCGCAGCTTGTAAGGCATTTTGCGCGTGGCCTTCCTGTGAAGGGAGTCCTTTTATGAGTAATCGATTACTCTACGACCAAAACGCTAGGCCGCTGAAGATAACAGGATTTGAGCAAATATTCATTGCTCTTGTTAAATAAAAGCCGACGGCAGGAGAAGCTGGATGTAAGTTCTTGCATAAGCAGCACATCCTTGCATTACAGTGCTGTGGCACGACGAAGGGCAAATTCTGCTATAAGGCATACTTGTGTATTTGGAAACGCAATCTCAGAGCTGATGTAGTCATTTGGAACATGATCTGCTTTCGATTGTATTTTAGTTATACTGCAGTAATGGTACCGCAATCGAAGCAAAGTACGTTCGGCACACTTGCCATTGAAATGTATAATTATTTTGTTCATCCACGGTAAAAAAAAATGTGCGATCCGTTAAATATTGCAAACAAAGACGCGTGAAAAACGGCACGGGACAAAATTGGTCGGTCGATTAGTCGCCACGTTCGGCGACGACTGCAGTCGGTCAGCTGGCAGGCAGGCCGACGTCTCACGGGGTGCCGGGCTAGGCACGGATGAGCCTGGCCACTCGAGGGTGCCCTGGGGAGGAGACCGCCTCGCACCCCAGGTCCCTTGCCTCGAGGTCAAACCGTTAGCATCCGTCAGCCCACCGTTGCGCGCGCCGACCCGAGGTCAAGCTGGAATATATATACGGAGTGCTTAAAAAAAAACGTTAACACTTTATGGGACTATCGTTTTTAATGGAAAAAATTAACCCGTAAAAACAAAGTTTTTCACTATAAATCCTTTATATGCGTGGCATCGGTTTTATTTTATTATTCATTTCTGTTTTTCTTGAGTAAGAGTTTCATTTTTATCACATTGGTATTTTAAATTAAATATGAAAAAAAATTCCTAAAAAGTGGAAAATGTTTGAATTTTTTTTTTTCACGAAAATAAATTGTCACGTACAATGAGTCTGTGTGCTCGATTGGATCACGGGAAGTGGGTTAAAAAACGACCGAAAGATTTGCACGGTCGTAAGCGCGCAAGCAAGCAAGTGAACTTAATATAAAGGATATTAAAAGAATCGATAATACACTGTAACATGATAACATATGCATGTTAATAGCTTCAAAAAGTCAACGGGTCTCCACTTGTTCGCCATCATTGTCAACAGAGACCGGAAGCACATTTCTCGTGGTATTGTTGCAAATTCTCAGAAAGTGTTGACATCTTTTTAAGCACCCTGTACATGGTGCCGCAGTCCTCTAGTGGATTGTAAGATTCTCCGTGAAGTAAAGACGCACCGCCCCCCCCCCCCCCCACCAACTCTGTTAGAGTGATCTCCTGCTCGGACGAGCATCGGGTGGTCGTCATCTCCTGCTTTACAGCCCTGAGCCAGTGGGGGGAAATTCCGCATTCGTATGGCGATGGAGGAGTCTACAGAGACAACCATTTGTCTACTTCCCCCACGAAGTGGTACTCATTTCATTGATGGGGGGGGGGGGGGAGGTTTTAGTCGGAGTCAACCCTCATGCAGGATTTGACCTTGCTGGACTTCGTGTATTAAGAGTGTTTAAAGGTTTGGTGGAAGACACCTAGAGGCTTTGAATGTTGATGTTGTCTCTTCTATCATGTCTCCCTATTCTTGCAGTGGGCTATCTATAACTGGATCACCCTGTACATGATGAAAATAAATTAAACGACTAAATTTTTTATTTATTTTACCAGGTAAGGCCCATTTAGCTATAGCTATTTTTCAGAAGCGACCTGGCCACAAATTGTAGCTCAACGAAGTGGCTTATCACGTGGAAATTTATAGCAACCAGTTACCCTAGACGTATATTGATTATAAATGTGGAAGGAAAAACCAGAGTACCCTGCGAAAAATCCATGCAACCACGGGAAGAACATGCAAATACAAATATACAGGCATCAGGGTCGGGATTGAACCCAGGATCTCCTGTATACCAGGTGAGGTAGTGAACATCTCACCACTGGCGCCCCAAGCTAAACGGTAACTTGGTTTGGAGCGTGATTTTGCCAGACCTTGCAAGTGACAAGGACATTGGGTGATTGGCTCTTGGCGAACGGGTCATGTTTGATTCTAGACGGAAGGGACACATTTCCCGTGAAATGAGTTCATAGTTTTATAAATTAGTTCTCGTCACGAGCCATGTTTGGCCGTTTTTATCGCTTTAACTTGTTCAGTCTTGTCCAAGACCGATGTGATATTGATGTTTTTGGTATTGATTTCAGGCCCCTCCACGGTTAGTTTAATACAGTTTCCGTGATAGTGGATTAGGGAATTCGATACTCCCATTTTCACAATTAATCATTCGACTGCCATACAGAATTGTGGCCCGCTGCATTATGGGCTGGTTGTAATGCTGTTGTAGACTACATTACTGGCAGTTGCCCATAACCTAATATATTGACACAGAATTGCATGTTTATAACACACTCTTTTTAAGTTTCACTCTTTAATATGAGCTGTATCTACCAGGGGTGGAATGATTGATCCCCCAACTCCCGGTGATTCGAAAGTGATTGGTAAATGCCTCTAGTGGCTGCCGCAGAGCCGAGGTGAACCCATTACCTGCAACCTATACAAATCGAAACGCATAGATTCTTACACTCAATTTGATGCAGCACCTATCACGAGCTTCAACAACTATATTAATCAATGTATTCTTCTACCCCTAATACCTCTATATCTTATCTTCCTTACCAAGTCCTCTCATAAAACGTCCATACCACCGCTTACTTGTAACTGTATAGATACCTCCTTGCGATGTTGCCATGGTATAGTGGTCAGCGCACTGGACTTGCAATCCAGAGGTCGCCCTTTAAATTCAGAATGGGAATATTTGTTTATCCTGGAGAAAGCCGATGACCTACTAAGCTCTTTTCCACAGGTGTCCAGCAGTGATTCCCCCTCCTCTGCACACATCTGTCCACCCATAAATATTCTATATCGACAGTTCACGTGAGTTGGGCTCAAGTGTGGATTCTCTAACCTCCTCTAAGGTGTCTGGCCTGCGTGGAAGGGTAGGCCAAACACCCTCTCGAGGGGTTCTCTAAGGCAGGGGTGGGGAACCTTTTTTCTGCCAAGGGCCATTTGGATATCTATAACATCATTTGCGGGCCACACAAAATTATCAACCTAAAAATTAGCCTGTTATGTTTGGTCAAACATTTAATTAACTCACCCCTAATGTGATAGCTGGAACTGCTTCTCTTTGGTGAGGCGTGTGATGTTAGCTGGTATTGATGATGTTGTTGCTACTCGCAACTGCTTTTCCAGGTTTGCTCCGAGATTGATTGAATTTCGAGTCCCGCCTGCGGTTGCCTTGGCAGGGCCACATCAAATGATTTTGCGGGCCTCATACGGCCCGCGGGCCGCACGTTTCCCACCCCTGCTCTAAGGCAATTGCGGGGCCGCACCTTTGACTTGTTACCTCCTTGACGATGTGTGTTGAGTGAGTGGGAGCGCTCGTGACCGTATCGCCCCGTGTGCGCTCAGTGGCCTTGCAAAGGCACTCGCCACATACGTGGGTAGCAATGGAGTAAAAGAGATTCAAGGGAGCGCGCTCACAGGTGCGAGTCGAGACCTCGTAATTAATGATGGCTTCAGCTGAACGAACGCCTTGGAATCAAATTAACACAATCTCCCCCCCCCCTCCTCCAGCTCCCCCCACCCCCCTATCGCGCGATGGAAGACGGCACATTGTGCTCGTGAATGTGACCATATCATTGAAAGAAAACTGAATGTGCAGTTGGAGGGATTATCAGAATCTTTTATTTATCATGGAGAGATCCGATGAGTTATGAAGCTCTTTGTCACATATCCAGGAACAGAACAACATGCGATGGAACCCTAAAATGCACCGTGAGAGCCACGCAAATATACGACTTGATGTGACACGATTGTGCCGTTTTAACTGCAATTATGACCAAGTGCATTTACAAATATTGATTTGTACGTGCATGTTTTAAAATCCATTGTAATCCAGTACAATTGCACCATGTAATGGAAAAACAACTTTAATTACCATTATTGTGATCATAGTATTTACTGTTGAGGTTATTAACTAATTAAAATACCAATATTTTTGTGAGCAATTGACTTGTTATGCAAAGTAGTTGACTAGACCGTTGTAGAATGGGAAATCGAATGAGCATTTAGTACATTCACAATTCAGACTAAAATGGCCATTAAAAATCTGTGAATTTTCGGAGATGGCCACGAGGTTCAGAGGTCGGATTGCTGAGCTGGCACCCATGAGAGCTAGGGTTCAACTCCACGCTGCCCTGTGAGATGAAACGGGATTCTCAAGTGCAGTGAGTTTATGGTCTCAGCCCGGATACCAATGACGGCACACACACAAAAATCCATAACAATAAATTCAGGGTCTATACTCGGTGTGGCTAAATTGGAGCTCTGAGCAATAATTATTATTGGTTTGACTGTCATTTGACAAACATCGCTGTCAGTGGCAGGGCACGTGGGAAAGGTGCAGTGCCTTCATGTGTGGTACAACGGTCCCTTGAAGGAATCTGGAGCGTTTGGTCTTTGATATGCACTCCTATTAATAATAATAATGACATTCATAACGCGCCGAATTTTACAGACAAGTCAACAAAATGGGAGGTGCGGAGCCAAGCTCAGGGCTGCTAGAAAGCCTGACCAAACAGATAGGCCTTTAGTTGTTTTCTTGAAAGTCGGGGGTGCATTTGATGTTGTGGATGTGCAAAGGGATAGAGTTCCACACTGAAGGGGCGACAGCAGAATATCGATGTGTGGCTGTAACGGTTCGAGACCGTGGTGTCTGAAGCAGATTTTGAGTGATTCTGTGTAGGGCTCTGGCAAGAAAGGTTGCACTGCTCTGCCTGAGATCCGAATACCTATTTTGTGTCGTGTCGTGACGTGATCCCGGATAGCATGATCGAGATGCATTTGTGGAAAAAAGATATTTGTTTAAATCCATATATGTTCGATGACAAACACTTCAAGAGAGGTTAGATCACTCACAATCCAACATAACGTCCATTATTATGACACACTCTTTGCAACAACAAAAAAGTCCAAAAATGTAAGTTATGCGTTGACTTTCAGGTGCAAAGGAAGGCTCACAGCCGACAAATAAATCCCACCAAAGCAGCCCCAACGTATTTACCGTTTTTAAAATAATTATACAACACAGGAACACAAAAAGACCATGACATACAATTTCCAAGTTGGCAGTGTCGATTTGCATAATCTTACCAGTTCCTAGCTGCGATCTCTGAAGTAACAAGAGAAGCAAGAAGATGGAAAAGGAAAGAAAGAGAACAATTGGAATGGGTGGAGAGAAGGACAGGATATTAAAAGTGGCATGATCAATAAAAGTGGCGATTGGGCACTAAAGTTGGATTGGGAGCAAATCCGCAGAAGGGGACCTAATCTTTCTGTAAGCCGTGAACGATTGCTTGCGGCAGAGCCCTCTGTGATCAAACGTGTCCACCATTGTTGACTGAAACTCCAGCCATCTCTTTGCTTCGGATTCCGTGTCCATTGTATGTATGCACCTCCGATTAGCTAATTGAAGTTGCCAGAGAAGGACAATAATCTTAATATAAAAGCAGTTTTATAGAAATGAGATTACAATCTAGATTACTTAGAGTGCATCGTTCCAGTGGCTTCCTAATATCGGAAGGAAGAGCATTCCAGACAGCCGCAAGAAGCGCATTTGAAAACGCGCAATCCAGTGACCGTTTTTGTTAGATGGTTAGCCGAAAGCCTACCAAAAGCTCCTGTATCAGGCTTGACAAGTCACGTGCGCTTGATGAATTGGACTGTGCATGCCGGCAGTGTTGTTTTGCTACAGTGGGCAATGCAAACGAGCCAGATGACGTTCGCTGCTAGAATCGTTGGCGGTATTTCAAGCAATGCAGACGGCGTGGCCTGCAAATTTTTTCCGCAACATCTTGACAGTTTTCCAGGGTATATGCGCACTTGCCTTACTCTCGAGGTGAGATTGTGAACCCACGTAATCCGTGTGGCTCTTCAGCCAGGCTTGACTGCGAGACGACGCATTGAGTCTCACAACGTTTGCTGCCTGTCCCTGTTACGCCAAGTCTACAACTTTGACGAATTAAATCCCCTTTCAAGGTCAATTATATAGGTCAGATTCGGTCACTGTTTCAAAAGGTCTTCGTTTTGTTGCATGAGTAGGAACACATTTCCTAGTGCTTAAGTACACAAATTTAAGTCAATGTCACTTTTGAACTTCCTGCTCGATTGAACAGTGCTCATCTTCTGTTTACAACCCTCAAGTCAGAGGTGCAAAACATTCACATTCCTGTGAAAGGGTAAGTTAGTCCATTGGACAATCATTGTCGATTTCCCTGCAAAGTTGTGCTGATATGATGGATTCCTGAGAGGAAGATGGGCCGAGTCGGAGCCCATCCACGATTTTAACTCTCAATTTTCCAATTGTGAGCCAATTGCTCTACCGCTGAACCACCCGGGCAGTTACTAAAAGATACAATACTCTCTCATGCAACAATAGATGTCAATAGTGCACACACACATCTATAGTGACAGTTCGAGCGAGCGAGAGCGCACAGTGATTGGATGACCTCGCTCATGAGAGCGTGGTCACCCCCAAGGCAATTTTTTTATAATACACAAAAGGGTAATCTGAATCAATTTCAACAATGTCTGATAACGCATCATCCGATTTTGCTTTTATATATATATTTAGAGCCAAGTTGTTATTCCCTTCAAGGGCAATTGATTGAAATTAATATTGAAACTGTTATGTTATCGGTTATATCTTGAAATTCACTATTTTGTTGAAAGGTTTTTCTGCCGAGGGCCTGAATATCAATGGTGTCCTGCAGTGAGTGTCACGATCTCGGTTTTGTATTGACTGCCGTGGCTACGTTTGTGGTCACCACGGTGTGTGAAACGGCATGAGCTACAGATAAGCAGCGCTAATTGTTAATGGTAATTGCTAATGGTCGCACACTGCGTCAAAAATGTATTGGGTCTGTTGCTGTGCACATGAAGAGAACCGATAACTTGTGTTCTGTTTTGTTTATTAAATTCATACGTTCTAAAATTAAGTAATGCCTTCAGCATATGTATTATACATAATGTATTATATGCGTTTACAATTGTTCAGCACAGTTTTGATGGTTTTTTTGCGATTTCACGGAGTAAAACCGCAGCACAAGTCTGGCGGGAGACATTCTGGCTGGTGATGAAATACAAAGTAGCGGCATTAAAGGAACAGCTATTTTTGGATCTCTTCATATCTTCTACTGATTTTCTCCCGCTAGCTTCGCTTTTTTTCCAGGATAAAAAAAAACTGAAGATCCAAAGCATATTTTCAATGTCTGGCCCATACTTTCTGATTCTGCTCATTAAATATAAAAAAATTATGTCATCCGTAAATTGTTTTTAACGTGTTGCTGCTTGCCTGTGGATTTTTATTTTAGGTGTGCATATATGATCGTGCCGGAATTGGTTTCAGCAGCCGCGCTATTCCAAACGACACCACGGGGATGGAGAAAGTCTGGAAAATGTTCACCACCGGCAGGTATGTGTGCGTGTCCGTGCGGTGGGGGTATTTGTGCATTCTAGGGTGCGAGTCTTTTGATCCCAAAAGCAATCGAATCTCATCGCTTGATCTGCACCAGGATAGGTTCCGTGCAATTTCAAAGTGCTCCCATATGTTAGTGTCGCGCATTCGACGGCACGATGTCACATTCCTCGGCTGTGGTGTTGAGCGCAAAGGGCGACTTGCTTGAAAGCGCTTGACCTCATTCTCTTCGACGCATGAATGTGCAAAAAAACTCCTGAAACGAGGTTACGTTGCGAGACCCAGGTAAGGTTGCACTTGACCTTAACAGTCTGTCCTGAGTTTCGCCGTGAAATAAGAGGGGCAAAGAGATTGTTTTTTTCCGGGAGTGCATTCATCAAGAGATGGACACATTGTTCTGCCGGAGGGATGCGCGGTGTGTGTTCTGAGCACGTCGTGCTTATAGCGGTGACCAAAAACAACGGCAGTAGTAGGTTTTTACCCTTTAAACTGGTACAAAACTGACACCTTTATACAAGGCATCTTGTTTGCAATAACCGCAACACAAGCAGTCAAATGCAAACAAAAAGAAACAACTCTGATAATGGTAATGATAAAGGGTAAAAACCTACTACTATATTTTGCCACTGGTAAAGGAGATGTCTCATAGTGTAAATGCTTCACCCCGAGCTCTCAATACTCTGATAGTGCACTGTTTTTGAGTTGTACGCCTTTTGGCGTCATCTGGTCCAACACCATGTGAGACTAGGCTCTAAGGAAAGCTGTCTCTGGTGTGGACCAATCAACTTCAAGGACAGTGCATATCATTACCATTATCAGAGTTGTTTCTTTTTGTTTGCATTTTGACTACTTGTGTTGCGGTTATTGCAAACATGATGCCTTGTATAAAGGTGTCAGTTTTGTACCAGTTTAAAGGGTAGAAACCTACTACTATATTTTGCCACTGGTAAAGGAGGTCTCATAGTGTAAACAACGGCAGTGTTTGGAACGCGGGTCTTCCGTTTGCCACGGAAATTTGTTGAAATCGAGCACGGTCACATGCCGTGCGTGCGGGAGGCGGGGTCACAGAACGCGTCGAGGATTTGACCTCCGTGATGGCCAGGGTCACTCTGCAAGTCCCTCTTGTACTGCAGCTTGCATAAGCATTGCAGGGGGGGGGGGGGGGAAATGAGGTCAAGCCCCAACTTATAACTGTTTCATTTCAGTGGGGAAAAGGGGCTTCAAATAACCAATATCTATCACGGAGCCCCGGGGAGCGACACAATTAGCTTAGTTAAGCTGTTTAGCTGCTTATTCGTTAATTCACGATTTTTTGTTTGTTTTTGTCCGTTTAGTTTTCCATAGCTGCTTTTTCGTTTCGTTCATTGTTTCACTTGAATTGCTTATTCAAATGATTAACACGCTTTTTAGATAATGAATGTAATTTTTTTTATTTTCCTTAAACATTTGGTCACAATGCAATTAATGTTTTACGATTGTCATTTAAAAAAAAATTATATGCAATAATTAAACAGAATTATAATTGTTCTGTCTGTGCAATGCAATTTACGAGCAGTGGGACATATTCCTAATTGAAGTGTCCCAGGGTTTCGTTGTTTTTTGTTGTGAGCATCTCAGCTCTAGCCCAGGGTCTTGGAGATAACTACGTAACCGCAACCCCTTGCGTAGGTGAGAAACGGGTAATAAACGAGCTATGAAAGAAACTGCCAAACACATAAACACCTCTCAATCTCCACGGGGCGTCAATTCCCCAGTATTCCCATACCTTGATATGTTCTTTCTCGGCCTGTCTGTCGGTTCCAATGGTGTGCTTGGAAAGTTACGCATCTCAATGTGAAGAGGATACATTGTTGCACGCATACAAGTCGCATTATGTTTTTGTAGCCTGATTTGCCTGCTTATACTTTTTATTCGAGAATGTTCATACCCACAAAACAATTGGAGTGGAAATAAAAGTCTATATGTGGATGACACTATGAATTTATTCCATCGACTAAAGTCGGTTATCAAAATCAGAATATGTATTTATGCTTTCCAACATGCCTGGCCAGTGTGAAAGAGTCGGCCCAAATAATATCTGGAGGGGCTTTGTTGAGCCATTTCTCGTGGGGCTCCTTCTCCCAACTGCGGGTGAAACAAGTAACTTCAATTTCAGAGCTGCACCTTTACCTATCCCTACGAATGTTCAGAATATTATTATCACAGTGATTTTAATAAATATTATTTTAAGTCTTAGTTAAACACGTGTTTTAGCAACAGTATAAAATAATATGCACAATTTACAATATGCCTTGGTTTATTGCATTGGCATGTTGTAATTTTACCTTCCGAGTTTAATCCAGCTCTCCTCTACAGACGCACTGAGCAGCGATGAAAATGTCATTCGTCTAACGTGTATCCAGACACCGTTCCGTTTTAAAGTTGGAGCAAAGTAAATCGCTCGATGCACCCTGGGTCCATGTGGGTTTTATAAATCGGTGGCGTGCGCTGTGTTAAAACGATATCTTGCAGTTGCAGTGTGAAATCTAATATGCGTTTTGAAGGCCAGCTCAATAAGCAGGTGTGAAAACTAATTTAATGAAATTAGGTTTTTTTTTTCAAGAAGACGAGGTTTCCATGGTTGTCGTCATCCTTTGTGGTGACATGCTGTGCTCATTACCGATTCCCTGAAATGTTATTAAGCAGCCCTGCTTTCTGCTGCTTGGTGAACCACCCAGCTTATCCGCTAACACCTTGCGAACACATTATCAACATCTTAATTGTCATCATCAGACCCTGGTCAGTCCACTGCTGGATGAAGTCCTCCCCAAGCCGCCACCATCTCTCACCAGTCCTGCGATCTATTATTTTGCCCAGCACCTGACCACGAGCTGATTTCATTGCTCCATCTCCACTTCAGACTTACTCTCGGATGCATTCCATTTTATTGGCTGCTATTCCAGCGCTAGTCCTGAGCATCGACGATTATCCTTTCCCGTCGTCTTGTGTTCTGCCAAAGCCTATATTTTTTATGCTTTTAATTATGTCCCAAGGCGTCTGGTCAATTTAGAAGAGTAGGCCAAAAATTACCTCTAGAGCTCCCTTTAGTGGATGCCCTTAAGCAAGCAGTGGCATGAGCATGCATTTGTGAGCCTTCATCTTTTAGTCAGAGTTAAAGCGCGTAACCTGCTGATGGCAAATTGAATATATTGTCCAAATTTTTCCACACAGATAAGAGGAATATAACGTGTGGATGACCACAGACAATAGAATCTGTCAATAGCACCCTGTGATTCAGCACTGCAAGCGGTGCAAGCACACCTCGAAAACAACAGCGCCATAACTGTGCTCGAATGTCAGAGTCCAAATCTTGAACCCAGGTCATGGACGCTAACGCGTTAACTGCCGGGCTGCCCAGACACCCCCTGCGCGCGTATATATAATGAGGAAATGTCACCGTGTTGTGTTGATTGGCCAGCGTGCCCCTTGCCGTCGCTCGGTGCGCGTGCAGGATGGTGGACGACCTGCACAGGCTGGTGCTCGAGGCAAAGCTGGCGCGACCTCTCGTCCTCGTCGGCGCCCAGCTCGGCGCCCTCAATGCACGCTTCTACAGCCACATCTACGACTCGTGCGTGGGCGCAGACACTCGCGTAGCGAGCACGTGTAGCGGTGAGGTGCCAAAAGGCGCCGTGAAAACACGGCCGTCGTTAACACCCCGAGCAGGGCCCGCCCAAAATATACTCCGTGACACAGTCGCCTTTTCCGCCGGCTGTTTGCTGTGCCGTACTGGAACAAAAAAAAACGTGATCTTCTTGCCCTCACGAGGTATCTGAATTTGGCTTCGGGGGGTTGGGGGGGCCAAGCAGGGCCAGGGAAGGGGCTAATGACTCGCTCAGTGCATTTGACGTCAACAGCACGGCTCTGCTTCTAGAGTGGATAAACAATGTGATGGCTCCTGAGGTGCGGCCAGGCTGGCTTGGATACGGCCCTGGCATGGCTCTATTGTGCAGTGGAAAAGGTGGTTTGAGTGAGATTTTCTTAAGGAAATATCTACAATTCTCTTTTTTATCGTATTCTGGAATGTGAATGTAAATAGTATATCCATGTTTACGATTATATCCCTGTACTTAAACAAAAATCTGGCTAGGAATTTAGTGGTAATGTCCACTTGATTTGTATTAACCTTTGGCTGTTTATGAATGAACACCACTGTGTAAAATTGCGTATTTTCTTGCACATTGCTACTCCCCATGAAAAATAATTATGCCGCCAATATTCAGCTATGCTTCAGCAGAATGTTTTGTTCCGCCATATTTTTTTATTATTAAGAGATAAATATCACCTTAAGGTCACTGCAGTGCATCGAGGTGAGTCCTCACATCCCTGCATTAGAGCACAAACGCTTGTTTGTCAAAATAAGCATTCCTATAATAATTGGTTTTTTACCCTTTTATCTGGCAACAAAACTGACACCTTTTTTACAAGGAGCCAAAAGGCGTCATCTGGTCCAACCCATGTGAGACTAGGCTCTAAGGAAAGCTGTCTCGGGTGTAGACCAATCAACTTCAAGGACAGTGCACATTATCAGAGTTATGTTTTTTGTTTGCATTATGACTGCAGGTATTGTGGTCTATGTAAACATGACTCCTTGTAAAAAGGTGTCAGTTTTGTTGCCAGATAGAAGGGTAAAAAACAATTATCATATTTTTACTGGCAAATGAGGTTCCAATGGAATAAGCATTCCGTTTTACGTGACCCGTAAATGAACGTTCTTGTCAGTTCCTGGAGAAGCTCTTCCAGCACGGGAAGTTGAAACGTCGGACATCGTGCCGAGCACCGCGCAGTCTGACCCCAAAACACATCGGCGAGCTGTGCAGCGCAGCCGCGAAAAACCTAGGCTTTAAGGAATGTTCGTGCATCTTCTTGGTTCTTTCGGTAAAGTCACGTAGAAGAGAAATAATAAAATAATAAAAATAAAACATAATAAAATAATTCTCACGACGTTTCGGCCACAACGCAAACAGCCTCTCCCCGACAGACCTGGTCTTCACCTCAGGACGGCTGCTTGCGTTGTGGCCTAAACGTCGTGAGAATTATTTTATTATGTTTTTATTTTATTATTTTCCTTCTACGTGACTTTACCGAGAGAACCAAGAAGATGAATCCCTGCAGTCACGAAAGCTTTAAATCGAAAAATGTTAGTCCAGTTCTGTCTGTTTTTATTCTCGACAACACGTGCTCATTAATATGCATTTTAACGGCATTCTATTAGCAGTGGGACAAAGGTGGAGCAGCTCTTTAAGTGGGCAGCGGTGGGCAGGATAAGCTTTAGGGCACGACAGCTTTGGGGCCTTACGGTGGCGAGATGTTAACGACCTCGCCTGGTATACAGGAGGGTCATGGGTTCGATCCCGATCTTGAGTTTGCATGTTCTTCCTGTGGTCGTGAGGATTTCTCTCCAGGTCCTGCGGTGTTTCCCTCCACATTTAGAAACGCGCGTTTAGAGTATTTGGCTGCTCGAAATTTCCACGTGATAAGCCACTTCGTTGAGCTATCATTTGTGCCCAGGTAGTTCTGCAAAAAAGCTTACATAGCTCAGTGGGCCTTCGCTGGCGGTCGCTTCTCCGAGCTCCTCCCGCGTGCCTCGCCCTCACTTTTACTCCCGTGCTTCTTCCAGGGAAGTGTCAGACCTCGTCCTCATTGACCCGCTCACAGAGGAGCTCTTCCAAGAAGATCCTTGGCTTCAGTATTGGTGAGTCTTGCCGCACAAGCACGATTCTTTTTCTTCCTTGTTGCGGTTGCATTGCCAACCCACAGCGCTCTGCTTCGTGAAGCTGAAGTTTAATGGCGCAACTTTCCCGGCAATCCTACGGCTCTAAACAGTGTTTATGTTTGCCATGCTCTGGTAGGACATTGGCTTTCAACACTGTGGACGTGTAGTGTTGCATGTTGCGCCGCAATACGCAAGTTTGTTCATAACTCGTTGAAATTTACTTTGCTGCACATTTAACGGATTCTATGATTGGCTTTGGCAGGGTCGCATGCTTATAATGGTAAAGTGAAATCCAACGGGGGTCCTTTTTATGGGCATGGCCACATGGGTTGTTTTTATAGTCCAGGTGCAGTCCTGAAATTGCTTTGCCGAAAAAATACAATTACTTGACTCAAGCAGTGTTGTATTTTGGTACAGGACAACATCACATATCCCGCTGTCACCGATTCACTTTTCTGGCTTCACGGCGTAACTGTCATTTTCTGTAGATGTCACGTGTCTGACATTTTCACATATCTGCCTCTGCCAAAATCTGCATGCAGCGAGTCAGATGTAACATACAAACGTTGAACCTCTTACAAAAGGAGAGCCCTGTACACGTGTTGCGTAGTTACTCTTGACACCCAGGAGACTTGTCGAGGAAGACGGATACGAGGATTGTTACATAGGGTTGCTTGCCGTTTATTCACAACTGTTACACACTCTCATACACTCTGTTTCCACTCTCTACACTTGACGCTTACACCCATCATGGCGCACGTCAGAACTCTGTCCTTTACGCGGACATCCCTCAGCTATCTACGCCCCGGTACGACTTCCCCTATGTCTATCACCTCGTCTGCCCCGGGCGGGGGCTCTCACCCATCACCACCCGGCGACGAGGTCAGACCTCGACATCTCTAGCCCTTCTTCGGCGGCGGCTGGGATGTCTTCCACGCAGGCCCTCGTTCCCCTCTCTCTCACTCCACCCACGGCGACCCCGCCCTCGTCCCGGGGTCCCCCTTAAGTCCCCCGCCGCCTCGATGACATGACGTCATCACATCACGTCCTCCCACTCCTCTCCAGATGACATGACGTCGTCCAGTGGGATGACTCCTCTACACACGTGCGATTGATGGTTGTACGTACAGAGTGGGGTTTGTTGGTATTTTCTGACGACTGTAGACATTGCCTCTCTGAACTCTGTGTCTCCTTACGTCCAAACCCGCAGGAACGGACAGCTCGTGCCCTCTCTGCAGATGTTGCACTTGTCGGCTGCCATGGGCCTGAACCGGCTGGGTCTCATCACTGGCCTCATGCAGCAGCCTTTGACGGGCGCCGATGTCACCGACGACGTGGTCAGCAGACAGGCAAGTGTCACCTGCCAACGACGCGGTCAGCAGGCAGGCAATTGTTGCCGCCTGCGTAGGCGTTCGCGGTCGTGGCTGTGTAGTGCCCCAATGCGTTTCCGGCCCTGTGCCGCATGTTGTTCGGCACAGCGTCCCGAGACTCCGCTACTCGTGCTGGCGGCTTGGGTGATCAACGGAGTTATTCGGTTTCTGAAGAAGCCCGTGGAGCAAAACGTCGGACATCGTGGCGAACGACGCTCGGCACAGCCCGAAAAAATGCAACGGGGAGCTTAGGCAAGTGTTGCCATTGTCTTGATCATCATGGTTAGCAACCATCCCAATGGCCACTTACCAAGAATGAGGCAAGTGAGTCAGACAACCGCAAAGTTGTGCTGTGTTGCAGCTAGGTTCCTGGTATGCTTTGCTTTTTGAACAGAAAATGGAAACTGATCTTCAGACAGGCCACCCTGGTTATTACTTTGCCATGTGTATGTACGTATGTTGAACTCCTTTCGCACCGTACGTAGCCAACCGTGCTAATCCTCGGTGCCATCTGCTTCAGAGTGGACGTTCTCAACTGAGTAGGCCGGTGCCCAAGTCTTGGTTCAAATTGAGCAAATTCAAAAAATTGCACTGCAGCTTACTTAATTGGGATTCCACAAAAGTAACATCGCCCCTTGCTGTGAAACTAATGCAGACTCTGTTTGTGATGCATGGCGCCTCCGCGATAGTCTTGCGCTGTAATTAATTTGAACCGTCATACAGCGCACCGGTTAATTATCTCGTTTACCCAGATAATGCTCAACTGTGTCGTTTAACTCTGCCTGCATGCCGATGTTTATGAACTCCCACGGACGCTGTAGTCGGTTCTCCTTCAATGGAAGAGGGATAGCAAAACTACGCGAGCTCTCTCCTGAAACCATCTCGTGGCTAGCAGACCTCGTCAATGGCATTTCGCTCCTGAGCATATTGCTGCCTTACACAGGAATAGAATAGAATTGTATTCACATTTAACCTGTCCATGAGTAAACCTGCACAGTTGCCTGAGTGCCCTTGAAAGAGCTCCGTGATGCCTCTCGTTTTTGGCAGTGGTGCGAGCCTGAACATGTTGACACCTTTTTTCACGTTCGCAGAGTACTCTGGGAACAGATGTGTTGCCTGCATATTAAATATTGGTTAACTTATTCCCAAGCTCCTACGCCAGCCAAACAGTGCCAGCTGCAGTGTCCATACGAGTGTGTGCAGTGAGCCAACGGAGAGTTTTGTGCAGCACATGTGGGAAATGTTTTGAAATGGACTACTTGTCCATGGTTACATATTGCTCATAGATTTCCTAAGGATTATATTTTGAGAAATGTATGCGATGGCATTTCTGATAATGAAGCGATAAATGGCGAGCCAATATATTAATTTCACTTAACTCCGTTTTGAGGATATTCTTCCCTTTACATTACAATCGGTGTGGAAGAGTAGGCCAAATACCCTCTTAGAGAGGCTCTTTAGAGCTCCCTCAGATATAGGCCCTTCCGCGAGCAGTAGTGCAAGGAAGTTATTTCAGGGCGCTATCTGTACATTTAGAGTAAAATGATATGTATAATATAAAATCATACGTATAATATAAAATATATATAATCACATTTTTATCCGATCAGCGTGGTTGGCTACGCACGGGACGAAAGAAGTTCAACATATGTATATATGTGTAATCATATTTATAAAAAGAACATGACACATTTGCCATTTCTACGTACTCATAAAAAGTCGCGAGGAAGATGTCCTTCGCAAGCGATGCAACTTTTTCACTTGCGAAGTGACATTGACAGATGCGCCAGGCCCTCGGAGGTCGTGCTGCGCGGGGGCAGTCAGTCGGCGAGTCGCACATGGCGAGAAGCGGACACACACTCAATCGCGGTCGGATAACCGTGCCAATCCCCCGTTCCCCACCCTCCCACCGACAGAAGTTCCTGCTGTGCAGTCCGCCACACATGAGCGCGGCCGTGGAGGAGCACTTCCTCGTTAACGAAAGCTTGGCTCAAGTCAGGTGAGTTGGCCAAATGTGGTGGGGTAATGCTGCTTTACTTTATCGTTTAATTCGAACGCAGCCCACCTCCTGCGCTTTGTCGACACGCAACGAAGTCAAGTGTTGTTTTCTCTTCCGATGCAGCCTTAATGGTGGGAAATAAAAGCACACCAAGTAGCACTCGTTATCACGCAAGTGCCAATTTTTTTTTTTAGCTGGAAGCAGAATTGGCAGAAATAAACTGGGACATAGTTGCACTCGGTTGAGGAGAAAAGGAAAGGACTCGTTAGGTTTGAATAATGGCCACCTTTTCTACCACCGGGAGAGAGTTACAGAGGAATGGTTACAAGAAATTTTTAATTGTGGTTACAATTCATTTTGAAAAAAGTATGGAAAATATTGACGCAATTTAGGTGAAATATCGAACTGAAGTTGGAGAGTGCAAATGAACAAGGCAAAGTGTGCGACTGGCATTACAATAAGATACAATGAGAGGAACGCGGATCGGAGGGAGACTTCATACCGACTCATAAGAATATTAAGTTGGTTGTGCAGGAAACGTTACGAAAAGGGATGGTGGCAACCGTTGTGGAGAAAATTGACCTGAGATGATGGCCACCACAGCAATGGATTAATGAGATCAGTTCATGTGCAAGATAGATACATTGTTGCATCGCGTGCCCGTGAAGGTTGGCAATGGCTTGGGCAGGCCTTCACCCAGCACTGGACAGATCATGGCTTATAAATGATGAGCATCAATACACTAGATTATAGAAAATACTCAACATCTACTCGCCATCCTCTTCGGTGTCACGTTCACGACTGCCCTATGCATTTCTGATGGCAGCATTTGACACCACAGGGCTTGGTATTGTGTCTCCTGCCTGGTGGAGCTAATGGAATGCATCCTCCTGGATGAGACGGGACAGGTGTGTGCGTAGCAGAATCCTTGCAGCGGTGGGGGAATGTTGCACAGCCTTTAGGGGTCGGTGACGAGGCCAAAAGTGGTAGCGCGTTCACCGCTCGTTGCAGATGTTCGCGGTTCTAATCCCATCGGCCTCCCGATTTATCGCTGCGGGTGCAACAACCGTAATTATTCCTCCACGCTGTCTGCTTCACGGTGGACGTTACATATCACAAGAGCAGGCCGTTGTGTGGTGGCGTCATAGTCCAAATTTGACATTCTAAAATGTACCCGCAAATTACTCTCAATTGGGATTTTACATGGCAATCATCACCCTCTACTTGCCAACTAATGCCCCAGGGTCACTCTTTCAGTGAGACTCATCCTGATCACGTGACTAAACTAATTTTAACTTGAAACTTTTATCCACTTTTTTTGTTTCTCTGCCAAAGGGCAATAAATGGATTTGTTTTTTCCCCCCTTACTGTGAATCTGTCAGGAACAAGATCTGATATTTGTTTGCTTTCAAAGACACCGTTGTGGCGATATGCAAAACATGACAGCTATCTCTTTCCCCTACCACTGAACTTATTTTATCTTTATCAATTTTATTCTGCCTGGAGGTATAAAAAATAATATTTTTTCACAATTTGCACATTTAATTCTGCTAATGTTTGTTAACTAGAGGTTGTAAATAATTATTTATCTAATAAATTCTAATTATCATTTTAACGTGATAAACAGCTTTTGCACAAAATGTATTCTGAAGCTTTGTTAAGTAAACATTTCTAATTAAATAAAACCATTGATAAAATACTTGTTTCATGAATAACACATTTAGCGCCATTGTAGCAGTACTTCCACCGTAACATCTAATTTTAAATAATTCCATGAATTTTTATTCTGTGATGCCTACAGTTTCGTTTATTTTTTTCCAGTGGTGGAGTTGCGCAGTATATTGAAAATGTTTCTTCCCATAATGCCCTTAAATACATTTATCATAAAATGCATTATAGGTAATGCAATTCAATGCCGCCCTCTATTTGATAAGCGAGAGACGCCCCGTGGCAGATTGACTAACGCTTTTGCTGGGAATCGACAGCCGAGTGGTTTGTTTTGGAGGAGAGGAAAAAAAACGAAGCAAAAGAAATTTGCTGCTCAGGGGGCAGCTTGACCTCAAAAGGGTTTCAACCACAACTGGGTTCGTTTTTTGATTTGTAGGTGGGGGGGGGGGGGGATCCACATACAGCAGCATGTGTCATTGACATGTATAATATTGTCACGTGGAGATATTAAGGCTTGCTTCAATTCCAAGGAGTGCACCTACATAAATACAATTAGGATTTGATCGCAATTTAGGATAGCCACCTGCGATCGAAAGGAATAAATTGCGGCTAAAGTCAACATAATAATAACTCTCAAATTGATTTATATTGATTTGCAATGATACCACCTAAATTAATGCGTTTGGGTAAAAAAAAAATCAACAAAGGCGTGCAATATATCATTCAAATTCAATTGGTGCTTCACCTCGGTGTAATTGGATAAAGAAACATTTTAAGCAAACATGAAATCCTAATTGTGTTAATGCAGAGGCAAATACTTAACTAAATATGTATGCAGTTTCCAACAATGCAAGAAAAACCCATGAAAAGTGTGTTACCAAAAATAATTTCACCTGCACGGGAATATAGATTGTAATTTACAATCTATTGTCTCAACCCCTCTGGACTGAAGGCAATAGATTCCATAGAGCAGTCAATCAAATATTTACTCCTGGTCAGGGTGTTGGGGACAGGGGGGAGGGGGGCGGCAGGGCGGTATGTGTGTGTAATGCATTTCATATTGGCACACGTCCTTCACGAAAAAAAGGTTAAAGCTGGACCGTTAATATTTAACGTTAACTGGTGATTTTTTTTACTTTTATTCATACATCGTACCAGTGCCCGGTTACTGTGTGTGCAAATTATTTTAAATGTTGCATTCATCTCGTTGTGATGGAAACAAAAGGCGCACGATGTATGTCGTGAAGAAATTAAATCGAAAGAGCAATAAACGCGCTCGAATTGATTCCATCGGTGGCCTTATAATGTTTGGATGTCAATGCTGCGTCTGCAGACCTGTAGACGTGCGTGCTTGTTTGCTCGGCCGGATGTTTCCTATCAAATTGACTGTCCTCCTCCTGATAAATGAATTCATTAAGCAGTCCGTGTTGACATAATTAACCCTTTCTTGTTTCTTCAGAAAATATTCAGCGTTAATCGCTGCATCTTTTAAGTGAAATGTCACATTTGGAGGAGGCTGGTGCACCGATTTTAATTACAATTTTTTTCATGGAATCTCAGTCTTATTTCCCTAATTGGCATATGCATCAATGCGTGCGTTAATGAGTACCCTGCCTGACCATTTCTCTTCGGATTTGTAGGGGCTTGTCAATGATTTCATGAATAATGGATGGATGCCAAGCATTTCCTTTGTTACCAAAACACTGAACACCGATAAGTGCTGCAGTTATTTTTTTTCTACTTACCTGTGCTCTACTCTTTGGTTCTTTCAGTAAAGTCACGTATAAAGAGAAAATAATAAATTAAATACTAGCATACGACGTTTCGATTGCAACACAAGCAATCATCAGGTATAAATGAAATAGAAACACAAATCTAGTATACTTAGAAATGTAATGTAATACAATAGAGAGTCAGATAACATAACAGTCAACACCCTACCTGGTTGCTTACGTTCTTCCTAAGAACACTAAATTTGAGAGAGAGAGATACAACACAGAACCAGAGACATATAGACAGACATATAGGTAGAGACAGATATCACAGAGATACATAGAGAGAGAGAGACGTACATAGGCACACAGAGAAACCACGCCTCTGTCTCGATGCCTTAAATAGAGAGAGGGGGGCTGGGGCGGAGAGAGAGGGAGGGGTTAGAGCAGGGGTCGGCAACCAAAATAACAAGAAGAGCCATTTCTTTCCAATTCGGTACAAAATTCAGTATTTCAAGAGCCGCAATGCATCTGAGTACATACTGTACATACGTACATATCGTCAAGAAGCAGCCCGTAAAGAGCCGCATGCGGCTCCGGAGCCGTAGGTTGCCGACCCCTGGGTTAGAGGCATTAGCATGTCAATGAGTGGCACGCTGCAGAAATAGAGAGACAGGGCAGGGGCGGAGAGAGAGGGAGGGGTTAGAGAAATTAGCATGTCAATGAGTGGCACGCTGCAGAAACTTGGAAAAATGAGGAGACGGACAGAGACGCACTGAATTATATAACCTAGCAAAATTTCGAAATGTAATATAAAGCAACACAGAGAGTCGGTCAACACACAATTAACGCATAGACTGGTTGATTATGTTTTTTCAAAGATTTCTAAGTTAGAAGTTCAGTGTGACATTTTATAAAGAGAGACAAGATGCTAACACGAAGAACAGACAAAAGCAGAGAAGGAGAGGGACAACAGCCGAGACACACAGAGAGAGCAGAACATAAGAACTACAAAACGAGTGGAGACAGAGAAAGTACACTAAATCAAATAAACCTAGCAAAATTTCGAAATGCAATGCCACACAGAGGGTCGGTCAACACACAATTAACGCCATAGCCTGGTTGATTACGTTCTTCCAAAGATTGCTAAATTAGAAGTTAAATGTGAAATTTGTAAGACACAGACACGAAGACCGATACACAAGCAGAGAGAGACAACAAAAATCCTGTGCTCGATTGTGTTCTATTGGTTATACAAGAGGCAATGAATGTTGTGGTTTTGTAATATTTTTCTGCGACATTTTGTTAGCTTCCTGTCAAGCTCGTAGGCATATGGCTCGCCAATGTGTTTTCGGTAACTCGGTTCGGTTCCTGAGTAAGCTCCCGGCACGTGCATCTGAAACGCTGGACATCGTACCAAATAACACGTGATTATAAAAACCCCTCTGGAAACATATTGGAGAGCTGTGCAGCGCAACCACGAAATCCTACGGAGGTGTTACCAACAATTACACAGCTTAATTGGTTTTACCAGTCCATAAAAAAAATATATGAGTTTCGTCAAGTAAATTTTGTACTTTTTTCTTCCATCAGCGACATCATGCAGTTCAAACCGCTACCGTCCCGCATTAACGTGACGGTGATCAATGGGAATTACTACGATGAGCTGCTGCCAGGCACCGTTAACAAGGTTGGTACCAATCGCAGCCCAACTTCTCGCACTTGCGCACAGTTTGGCATCCACGTGCATCGACTCTGCTTGGGGAGTTTCGAACTTTCTAACAACGTAGTGTGGTTTGCATTCAAGTTGCAATCCTGATGTGTTTCTCTTTTAAGATTAATTAAATGCATATTCTTATTTAGTGGATAGTTGATTGGGATAGTTTCTTGGTGTAGATTTAAAATCTAGTTTGTGTGCTTTTCAAGTGGTAGCCTTCCAACCAATATATTCAATTAAAAAAATTGTGTTTATAACTTGAGCTAAATTCTTAATAGCCAAAAAATTGTTAATGCGATGTTGATTTTATTTTTTTCTGTTTATGTTGATTTCATTTTACTTGAAGATTCATGCACGCAGTTGGTTGATCTCTTGTTCTTGGGCATTGCTCGCACTAAAGATCAAAACAAATTCGAATCTCATTCCCTTATTGTTCATCCTTGATGAACACAAGTTTAAGCCGCAACTCTGCATCAGCACACACACAGACCTGGTTGCTTGGAGCCATTTGCATCATAAGTTGCTGTGCCCGGTTGCAGACAATGAAGGTGGCACGTGGTGTTTTAAATTAAATGAACAAGGCCTCTGCCATGATGTATATGCATGTTGGGATGCTGTTAAGGGGACATTTATGTGGCCACATTCACAATGATAAAGTCTACTGGTGAAACGGTTCCAATTGCAAAACCCTAATTTGTGGGTTGAAAAACCCCAAAAGCTTGTGGTTAGTGCCTTGCGTTCGAAATTATCCATTGCACACAAAGGTTCGTTCCGCCCCCCCCCCCTTCTGACTTGTTCCCATTGTTGGGATATTTATCCGTAATTATGTGCCCATTAGCACGCAGCATTGCTTCGCAATGGAACAGTTATTATTTGATACAAGTGTGTGTGCGGGTATGTATGTGTGTGTGTATGGGGAGCGGTTTGCGCCAGCGGTTAGGCTGGCTACGAACCCCGGCAACCCGAGATCAATTCCCACCGACGACCAATAACAAGGTTGTAATCGGCGAAAATCTGAACCAGTCTTGGGCCTCCCCGAGCTCACATGAGTACCTGGTGCGGTGTGTAAACATGGCTACCAGGGAGACAAAGGCGGCCGGGCGTGGTGTTAGCTATCCACACCTCCCCTCGTGTGCCATGCCGGCCTTCATAGGTGCTCGCTAACAGAACTTGACCCAAAAATCTGTTCAGACTGAGGGGGATCTGTGTCTTTGTATGTGTACGTGTTTTCATGCCTTTGTCTAATAAGACATTGAGCAAAAAAAACACCCAATTCCATTGGCAGGTATTTGTATTCATTTTAAGTGTAAATCTTTCCCTTTTTGTGTGACCCAATATACTGCACAGAGTTATAACATTCATAATCATCCCACTGAAATAATAAGTCTCAAAACACCTAAGTCAATATTTTAACACTCTGCTCCTCTCAGATAAGTATATCGAGCTGTTGCTTTCACCAATTTGACTGAAAAGAGAGGTCATTGGAAATCACAGTGGGGTATTTATAAATGGATCACCATGTTTTTGCTGTGATAAAATTGATAATTGTAAGCTCTGCAATGATTCCAGGAGATTATTCATGAACCTGAAGCTATAAACCTGACCCCTCCTTCCTTAGGACCCTTGAATTAAAATGTCCAGAGAATGAAAGGAAATCATTGGGTAATGCTTATGAACGCACATGATAGGGATTTGAATTGATTGTTATGAAGAGTGTTGTGTTTTTTTTTTCTTGCGGCTTATAACTCCTGTGGTTTCTGGCTTTTTTTATTTTGTTATGAATATAAACTCGATGTGTACAGATTGTTGGTTGGATCATTGGATAAATGCACCAGTGTATATAAATGCTGCTTTCACATTTCATAATGTTTTTGTAAGCTTTCTGGTGAGATTGCCACTGAGGCAACGGTCAGTGCACTCGGCTTGAAATCGGGAGGTCGCCCATTCAATCTCATCTCCAGGGCGCGGCAGTTGCAACCATCGGCAATATTCGTAATAAATCCACCCTTTGTGCACCCAGCAGTATAAAATGGGTTCCCTCACCATTATTATAGTCGATTGGCAAGTTACATGCATGGTGGGGCTAAAGTGTGGACATCTCTCACCTCTTACACAATGCATGGCCAGTGTGGAAGAGTAGGACCGAAGACCCGCTCGAGAGAGATGCTTTCATGAGCTTCCTTCGAGTGGAGGCCCTTCCAACAGCAGCGATGCGTAGCAAAAAAAGAATAACTGCATCGCTATGCGTGTTTACTTTCACCGCCATTATGGAATGCTTCAGAGCCGCTGACTCAATGACCGGGAGTGGTCGGGTGAGATGGGAGGCATGCAATATCGATCGCTGGCATTTACTACTGTACTTTTACTGCTGCTGCTACTGCTGTGCAGGTGTTTACTCAGGCGCAGCAGCAGCTCGTATCCAGCATCGCCGCCGCGGCCCGGCACGTGGTGGTGGACGGGGCAGACCGGCACGCGGCCCACAGGAACCCGCTCGCCCTCGCTCGCCCCATCGCCCAGCTCGTGCACAGACGGCAGGCCAGCCAAAAGTCGCTCTGAGCTGCGGCTCGGATGATTGCTACCGATTTAAGCCGATTTGAAATCGACTCAGGGTTGTAATTGGCGGCCCCCTTATCGGTGGTCGACTACTTGGGGCCCTATTTTGTAAATGGCTGCCGTCCAGATGTCCCTCGCCTACCCGAAGGTGGGAAACCCCCTATAAAGCCACGCCCAGCTTGATGCGGATAATGTCACCAAGCCCTGCCCATTACCTCCTATTCAGTTTTTATGTTCTTGAGCACCAGTGGTGATATAGCCCCACATTTTTTTTATTTGATTTTAAACATCTGTGAATCAAGATGTTTGAAATACCATTTAGAAAGTAATAGTATAATCTTGGAAAGTACCCATGTAGGTTTTAGCAGTTGTGCCATATAGGCTGCCCGATGTTCTTATTCGAGTTGTACCTCGCGGACAACCTGAAAACACATCGTAGAGCTAAACTCGCTGAAAGAGCTAATTGTCTTTTCTACAAATAGCCCTGCATGGATTTTGTTACATTTATTTCTCACGGCGCAATAGATTTTAACTCTGTGGTGCACCATGTCCTGGGTCAGCAAAAATCTGCCTTGGGCCTCCCGTTGAAGGTCATGAATATTTTACGACAACTAAATCTTGCAGCTAGTTAACTATTCTTTTTGGGATCACGTTTAATATTTAACGGCCCCTGGCCTTGTTTACACCTTGCACATATGGTTAACGTAAAAAAACAAGGTTAGATGTTCCCTTGCGAAGAATGTCCTCTCTCTCAGTGGCACGAGCACCGTGCCCTGGGTTTATTCTCACCTTGGACCCAACACGTGACACGTGTGATAATTGATGTTGATGAAATGTATTGCTGAGCGTGGAATATTCGGTGTGAGTTTTTTTTTTAAGTAATAGCGTTCAAGATGTGCTGTATAAGGCTACCTTTCCACAAGCAGGGATGAATAAAGTGTAAAATATGATTAGGTCTCCAATATATTTTCTGGTTGTGTTCAGTTCACGGAGAAGCAGCGAACCGTCGGACATGCCGAACAACACGCAGCACAACCTGAAAACACAGCAAGCGCTATAAAGCATCGAGAGTTATACAACCGTAAAAACCTACGCGGTACTAAAACAACAACAAAAACATGTTAATGCGCAGATGGTCATTGTCCCAAGGAGAAAAAAATATATGAACTTCTGAAAAGTGTTGCATCACAAATTTACATCATCATTGAGCTGTCGGTGAACATTGACATTTGGCAAAAACAATCACATTGCACTTGTGAATGTTTTTTCTCCTACGGAAGAATTGCATCACTTGTTTAAAAAAAATGGCAAAGGGTTTGATGGTCCGTTATACTGATGTCCAAGTTCGTACCAAGTCAACACCCACAAATAAAAATGTATAGCAGCAAGCTCTGCACAAACAAAGTGAAATGAAATGACAAAACAATGTGCTCCAGTCGCGATGCTTATTTTAAACAATGTTGAATAAAATTGCACAATGCTGTAACTGAATAGAAAAGTTCTACTCTTGTTAAAAAGGTGTAAATTGTTATCGCCAATAACCTAAGGCTGCAGTGGGGCAGTGCCTTATGAAGCCGTATCAATTGTAAAGATAAATTAAAACGTTATCAACGCGTTAGCGAATGGGAAAAAAATTAAATGAACGCGACCAACTAGCGTGTAAGAATAAATTGCTTTAAAAAGTTGAAGGGCGTCTCCACATTCGACCAAGGCATCTTTAATGTTGGTAATAAGATAAGGAAATCGAGCAGTGAGCAGCCAATTCCCCAACTGTATTCTTGCAATATCTCGCTCCAGCCCGTGTTGAGGACTTTAATATCGGTCTTAAGCCTGATTCTAGTGGGATTCATGCGAGTAGCCTGATGTGAATGTCATCTATTGTGTGCTGTAAAAAAATGGGTTTGAATTCTATGTTTCGACTTTCGATAATTTGTCGTGTTACATTCAGTGCTGCGCGAAAGGCCTTTTTTTACTTTCTCGGAATGTCTCGATTCACAAAAAAATTGTGTGTATTAGTGCAAATAAAAAATATACTTGAATATTGTGCCAAGTTCACGTGTTGGCAAAATGGCCTTTTGGTTATTTAACCCATTGTTGGTGATGGATAGGGTCACAGTTTGCCCAAAAATGTGATGAAAAACGCTCATTCTCTATTTTGAAAATTAATTTATTTAGAACTGCTTTTTGTGTTTCGTTTGTTTTCCTTCCCCCCGCACCTCAGATTCGCACGGTCGGCTACATCGGGTGCGAAAGAAGCTGAACATGCATAATAGCCTCAACCAACGCTAATCGGCATATTTCACAAATAGAACGTATTGTTCGATCGAGAACTCGGAAGCGAGTATCTTTTGGATGTCCTTTCTTTTACTGAACCCTACCTATCACGTCGTGAAACTTTATCGAGTGACCTTTAAAATTGTTTCCAAACTTAAGTGGCAGTTTCCCACATTCATCTTGGTATGGACAGTCGAAGGCAATTTTCCATTGTCAGTCTGCTTGATAGACTGCGGCAGTACAACCCACCAATTGTTTCCCAAATGTAAAAGTATTGATATTTGACCTCGTGTGTGCCCATGTGGCTGTGTTTTTGGAGAGTGGTGGAGCAGTGGTGAAGCGCTTGCTCCGAACCCGGCGACTCGAGTTCGATTCCCGTTCACGGCCACGAACACCGGTGATGATTGCCTGCACTGGCCTTGGGCCTCCTGTAGGTTGACTCGGTGTATAAACCGCCACTGGGGAGACAAGAGACGGTCGGGCGTGGTGCTGGCCACCCACCCTCGTGTACCATGCTGGCCTTCATCGGTGCAACTCACTCATAGCACTTGCCCTAACAGTGTGCTGATGTATACTCTGTGTGTGTGTGTAAGTAAACACTAAGTCACCCACCTAGCCTTGAATTGGGTGATCGTTCCGTATTTCATAAACTCTCGTTTTGAAATATAATGTTGAAGATTGAACATTGAACGGCAGTGTGTGAACAAAGTAGGCTGTCTCTTCTTTGGTGACCGTAGAAAATACGATGATTTATTTTCCAATTTTAACACAACTGCCAAAGAGCAGCGGCCTCGTGTAATGTTTTGATGTAAAAGAAAGCAAAACGGTTTGTTTTTTTAAAGGTTATAAACTAATTGAACTATGACGAATTTGGCTGGGATGTAAACACCTGACGGCACACAGTAGTTGTTTAGAGAATTGTTTAGAAAAAATATATTTGTAGCAAGCAGATGAGGACAGGGTTTATTTAACCAGCACGCTCAAGGTTACGTTGTTTTTAAATCCTTTATGTTAAGTTCGCTTGCTTGCTTTCGACCGTGCAAATCTTTCGGTCGTGTTTTAACCCACTTCCCGTGATCCAATCGAGCTGACATTTTGCACACATACTCGTTGTGCGTGACAATAAATTTTCGTGAAATTTTTTTTCCAAAATTTTACACTGTTTAGGGGAAAAAAATAAAGATTTAATTACCAATTGTTTAATGCTGCCAGACAATCATCTGACCCATAGGTGGCAGCCATCTCAAGCCAGAGGATGAGAGGACTCTAGCCGCCCCGATGCCACGCATATAAAGGATTTATAGTGAAAAACTTTGTTTTTACGGGTTAATTTTTTTTGTTTGTTCTGGTTGCACCCGATTCAAGAGCCGAATGGCTCACAGGGCTATACCTAATACATGAACTTGAACGTGTGGTTTGTGATGGAATGCTCGCAAGGGATCTCAATGTGTTGCCCCACACTAATGTATCATCACCCATTCTGCAACTTTTAAGATTTAATTCATGCAATTCATTCTCGGACCCGCTTGTGAACCGATTTTCTGCTGTCTTGCATTAATATATTGAGAATGGAACGCGTTTTTCACCACCATATGGATTATTTGCCATTAAAAATGCTAATCAGGGAGCCGAGTAGATTTATGAGCTGATGGCCCTCTATAAACGGATGGCAACAATTAGACATTTTAGTTTTGCTGAATTAGCAAGTCGGCTCTATTTGTCAGGCACTTTTCAAGATATTAAGATTTAAACATGTCACTGGTGTGTTCATACATTTTCATAACATTTATTTTCATTAAATTTGTGAACCGATGAAAATTTTCTTTCATATGTACATCATCATCATTAGCTATGGTCAATCTACTGTTGAATTAATATTTCCCCAACCTAGCCCTCTTACGTGATCCTGTGTTGATCAAATCGCACACATTTTGTATAAATATCTAAAAGCTGCTTATAGCATTCATCCATTTGTTTTGCTTTGATTTTAGGTGCAGTAACGAGCTCAACACAAATACCGTCACATTTTTTTGTCACGAAATACTGGCCTTGTCATGAAACATTATTCAACGGAAACATGACGACCATTGGTCTTATACGTAAATATGAATGATTTTACTGCTTTTTTAAATATAAATATATGGATATTTATTTGGATTCTTTATTAAAACACAGCAGGATCATAATGGGAAATTATGCAGCACTCTATAATTTTGCGAAGCCTGGAATAAAAAAATAATGTAATTGAAAAGACAGCAATTGAAATTGTCTCCGAATTTATTTAAAAAAAAGCTTGTTAATAAGCGGTTGAGAGGCACTTATTTTCTCAGTGGTAATTTAAAAGCGCTTTGCGCACAACTGCCCTATTTATACTCCACTTCCTGCCTCTCGCTGTCGCCTTTGTGAAAACCTGATGCAGGCGCCCAATTTGCCAGCTGCAATCCAATGTCATCCTGGCAAGGTGTGCTCTCAAGAGAATGACCTGTAGATTATCTTTTACCAGAAGACCTCAATCAAATGATTTAAGATTTTGTAACCGTCTTATGAAATCATGGGGTTAATTGTGAGTGCAGAATCTGCCGCATGGCCCGGATGTGTCTGACAGGGGGCTCTTTGTTTTGCACATTTGCGCTGGATTGTCTTAAGGCCATTTCAAACCTATGGGGAGTGTGGTAATTTTTTTGATCGGATGTCTCCACCCCCCCACGTTTCAAAACCCGATGATCTCTGTTGTGAACCCCATTGACTCGGTATGGGCCTGGATTTACAATTTAGCGGCCTGCAACCACATCATTGCGCGGGCTTTCGAGACCTGGACCTCATTAATTCTCTGGGGGTCCTTCGTTTCAGTACGATTTGTACGTTGGCAACCACGTGAGAACGCTCTTTGATCTAAAACAACAGCTTGCTATTAACGGAGACAATATTAGCCTTCGTGTGTATATGTGGAATGTGGATTTTTGTGTATTTGTTTTGAGTCTGTGTGTTTGTACACGGAGTGGAACGGGTGGCACAGTGCCCACTGCTCTATGAACCCGATGACTCCCAGCCGCGGCTAACGTCTATGGGGAGTGACATCTGAGCCAGTGCTGGGTGCTTCCTTGAACAAACCACATTGGGAGGCGTCCCCCCCCCCCCAGCAATATTTACACGTGCGGCAAGGTAGACACTACCTGCTTGATGAGTCAACCCTAAACTTGTAGGCGTGCGGGATCTTGTCACCTGATTATTATAAGTCATGGGAATAAAAGGCCTTTAATGACTCATTCCTCGCCTTGTGCGCCTCCATGCTCATTAGACTTACCTATACAGCCTGGCTGATTGTTTAGGATTGCTTTAATGATATCGAGATTGGTTCAACTGTGCTCCTGAAGGTCATACAGTACACCCTAATATATTGACACACTGGTGTATTTTCTATTATGATGCATTGGTATGGCTTAGCCTCTGTGTTTTGGCTGGCAAAAGCAAGTGTGTGCAATGACATTTATTCAACCCTATTGGCATCACTAAACTATATTTTTTAATGGATTAAGGGATTAGCACTGTTGGCCACGATTAGCACGGTTGGCTACGTCAAAACAAGTTCAGCATACGTACAAAGTGAATTCGAGCCAATGTTGTTTGTTTTAATATAGTCAACGTCATTTCCTGCTGAAATGAGCATTGATGCTCATCCCTGAGCCGGCGGTGGACATTCCTCATTCCCATGGCAGGGGCGAGTTTATCCATAGAACGACCGCTGTTGACTTACTTACAGAGTGGTGCTTACTTTGACCTCCCCCCCCAACCAACCAGGCATTGAACTCGCCACTTTTAAAATGCGAGCCGCTCACACTACCGCTGAGCCATAAGGCAGGTTTTTAAAAAATATTATACTTACGTAATACAAACACGTAGGGTAAATCATTCGGCTTATTTGAATGTAAGACGACATCAGAATCAGTTAAGCTGTCACTTTCATCCTCTTCTCAAAACCCTGCCGTACTCGGGAGCACGACAAACGATCAGCTCTCGAATTTTAACAATATTCTGGCAAAAGTTTTCCATGAATAGGACCGCAAGTTGAAACGTTAGGAGACATTTTAAATGAACCCTTGTCAGTCTTCTGGGTGCGTTGCTCCCACCTCTTTGCGTGTCGCAATCTATTATTGTCTTCGGAACTTTTCCACCATTTTTAGTGGCAATGACTCGCAGCCGCTAACAACGGAGTTATTTTCTCTCTCCGCCTGACGAAGACCGCTTGTGTTGCGATCGAAACGTCGTGGGTTTTTTGCTTTTATTTTTAATTCATTTTTAATTTTATTTTCTATTTAGGTAATTTTACCGAAAGAATCAAGAATACGAGTTATTATTCTTTGGGTCTTTCGGTAAAGTCACGGTTCAAAGAAAATAACAAAAAAATACGACGTTTCGATCGTCATCACTTTCAATTGCCTAATAAATGACGTCTTCATGACGACCGCTTGTGTTGCGATTGAAACGTCGTAGTTTTTTGTTATTTTCTTTGAACCTATCTACGTGACTTTACCGAAAGACCTAAAGAATAGTAATTCCTGCGGTCACGAAAGCTTTACGTCAAGATTTAACGTAATTATTGTCGGCACAGATGATTTCTCACCGTCGCAGTGGTAAGGAGCCCAGCCAGCGTCCAGCCAGGAAACTCGAGGCACAGATGATTTCTCACCGTCGCACGATGTATCTTCGAAGTAGAGTAACTCACTTATTTTTTTCTTCCAAAAAACAAAAAGGAACTCTGCGATACTGCAATGGCAGCCACTGCACAAAGTGTACAACCCAAGACGTGTGAACAACGCTGCCCTATGGAGGAAATAATCAATAATGGGCAACATTTTTAGCAGTGGCCCTCCACAGCGTAAGGGTCATTGTGCCAAATGTTACCTATTGACGAATGTTTGAGGGTTCCCCCCCCCCCCCCAAACGGGATTGTTTCACAAATAGGCTCGACTCTGCTGTGTTTTTATGTATTTTTTTTACAGTAGCACCGTGCATAGCACTCTTCGTAGTTGGACTTAATCCGTCACATGTAGCTTTAGTGGACGGAGTGCATTTACTGCATTCTGGATGCATCTATTGATGTAAATGTAACATTTTGTAGGACATACATTTCTACTCACGCTATTTTCAAATTAATTTCCGACGGAGAACAAACGTCATTTATTTGACAATTGTGCATTAGGAATTCAGTCGTATTTGGATTCGAAAGTCTATCTCACAGCACCACTTGCTGGTTGATGTCGGTAAGTGCGTCATTTTCTGTGGGCCTTTGGGATTTTTTTTTTTATTTTCCATGTTTACATTGAGGTTACGAGTACCTCGGTGTGTTAATTCCAGGCCGTTTTCCATCCACATTTGTGTCACCCTGTCCCTCAAGTACTGAAAAGCGGGTTGCAGTGCACGGCTGAATAAAATATTTTTCGGATGATGAACTTTAATCGAGCGAGACCTGCCACGGCTTATCAGCTCCGTCCAGAATCGCTGCAGTTGAAATAATCCCATTCCTGATTTTACACATTTCGTTACGGTTTAATGCTATTAAGAAACATCTGTCACGTGTGTTCATGTATAATTTAGTTTTTAAAAGTACTGAATAATTTTGTCTTGAGAAAATATAGGAAGTGTATCTGAATTTACATTTAAATCCGAGCTGTTAAAATGTATTATTACCATGTTGCAGATTTAAATAAAATTACCTCTTCAGGGGATATTTACTTGTGCCTGCCAGAAGAGGTTATTATTGTATAAAGTTTAGGAGGAACCAATGAGTACTCTAATGATAGGGTATCACGTAGGACACGATATTTACCACCACAGGCCAAGCATTGTAAAAAAAAACATTTCATACACAATTTTACATGGTGTATGCAGTCTGCATTAAATTATTGGTGTCCTCACACTGTGAAGTGACCAAGTACGTATGCATGTATGTTGAACCTCTTTCGCACCGTACGTAGCGATCCGTGGTAATCGGAGGTGCGGGAGTGGGTGGATGTGTGAGTGTGAATGAGTGGGTGGGGTTGGATGAATGGGAAGGTGAGTAGGTGAGTGGGTGAATGAGTTGTTGGGTGAGTAGGTCTGGGCCGCGTGTCCCTAAAAAACATGTTCCAGTGGCTTACAAACGAATGTTCTTTATTCAATGCCGTCACCCCGCCGGGAATGTCTCCACGTCAACTGCTGTTACTTCTGCTGCTGCCTTCCACCGCGTTCATTTATAGGCCACTCGTTATCTCTCAAGCACCGCACTGACTGTACGGAGCAAATCACAATTGGGCTGCTCCAATTCCTGGCCTCGCAGGGGCAGCCGTGACCTTGAGACCACCGAAGCCGTTGCTGCGAGCCCCCCCCCCCCCCCACGAACCTCCGCTCCCTCGTGTCAAGTCGTCGATTCCATGGATCCAACGTTGACCGTCCACCAGATGAAGGAGTTGGAGGAGGTCGACGCGTCGGGTGATCCTCCCGGCTGTGGTGGAGAAACCGCCCGTGGCGTCCTGGAGAAGGAGCCCATCCCCTGGGCGGACGAGGAAGGGCAGGAGGACGCCGACCGCGACCACCTGCGCTGCCTCAAGGTGGTCGCCGAGAAGATGCGCCTGCGGACGAGGAGGCCCTCCTACCTCGAGTGGCTGACTCTCGTCGAGGCGCAGGAGCCCCGAGGGAGCGACGCTCACCCGGCGTTTGTGGCTCGCTCGGCCACCCGTGGCCCGCCCTGGGCACCGCGCACAGGGTCCGTGCCAAGCCCCCGAGCCGGTGCCGGCGCTGCGCTCGAGTCGACGGGGACGCACGTGGCGCAGTGGCGCGGAGGCGAATTTGGACCCACGCTCACGTGGCTACGAAAGCAGCTGGTGCGTGACGGGGTGCATGGGTTTGTGACACGGGGATTTCGATGGGAAACTGTGTCGCATTTTGGTGGTTTATGTACGCTGAGCTTATTTAACACCGTACGTGGCCAACCGTGCTAGTCGGATGTGCGGTGGGCAGGGGGTGGACAACACTAAACGGGACTTATTTGGCAAAGTTTTCGGCAGCACTGAAGGGTGGAGCAGTGGTACCCGTTGGTTGACGGACTTGCGCTGCAAGCCCAGTGACCGGAGCTTGATTCATGCCCACGGTTCAAATTAGTGGCAGGTGATAACTAAAAAAAATAAGCGGTTGATTAAAATGTTAGGTGATCGACCGTCCCACCCGGAGTCCTTCGAGTCTGAACTGCCAGGAAAACACCAAAACCGATTCAGCCACAAAGCTGGAAACACATACTCTTAGTTCTTTCGGTAAAGTCACGTAGGTAAAAAATGAAATTAAAATTAATAAAAATAAAAATATACATTTTTTTTATTTTTTATTAATTTTCATTTCATTTTTTACCTACGTGACTTTACCGAAAGAACTAAGAGTATGAATCCTTGCAGTCACGAAAACTTCAAATCTAGAACTGGAAACACATCTTGGTCGCCTTTTCCCCGATCCCACGACGATACAAAATAAAAAAAAACAAAAGCAAAGATCCCCCATATAGCCTTAACAGACTGTAAGGACAAGTGCTGTTAGCGAGCACCTATGAAGGCCGGCACGGCACACGAGGGGGTGGGTGGCCAGCACCACGCCCGACCGCCTTTGTCTCCCCAGTGGCAATGTTTACACACCGCACCAGGTACTCATTTCAGGCTGAGTCGACCTAGGGGAGGCCCGGGACCGGTTCAGATAATCGTCACTGATGTTGGCAAGTGCGCGGGAATGGAACCCGTGTCGCCGGGGTTCATAGCGCAGCGCGCTAACCACGACACTAAAACACACACACAAACTCCCCGGTTAACTGCGGGGAGTTTGTGCGAGACCGCGCGTGTAACTTGGTGTGGGGGGCCACGGCCTTGGGATCGCAGGTGGAGATGCGAGTGCAGGACCAGCAGCTGGCGCGCGAACTCGTGAACGTGCAGAGCGCCGTGTCGCGACTCAAGGTGGCGAGGCTGCTGGGCAGCTCGTACGGCGGTCACGCGGGGACCACCGGGGGCACGGGAGGAGAAGGCGGCTCTTGAGCATTGAGTTCATAGGTTGGTACTCTTAGGTTTTTTTCGGTAAAGTCACGTAGGTAAAAATAAAATGATTATGATCATTTTAAATTAATAAGAAAAATGTGTTTTTGCCATTATTATTTTTTCATAAATAATAAAAAGATTATCATTTTTATTATTTATTTGCATTTTTACCTACGTGACTTTACCGAAAAAACTACGAGTATGAATCCTTGCAGTCACGAAAGCTTCAAATCTAGAATTCACAGGTTGGGTCCCATGGACATCACTGGATTCGGAGGTGGGAGGATCTAAAGCAGGGCTGGGGAACCTTTTGCCTGCCAAGGGCCATTTGGATATAACATCATTCGCGGGCCATACAAAATTATCAACTTAAAAATAGTCTGTTATATTTGGTCAAACATTTAACTCACCCCTAATGTGATGGCTGGACCGGCTTCTCTTTGGCGAGGCGTGTGATGTTAGCTGGTATTGATGATGTTGCTACTCGCAACTGCTTTTTCAGGTTTGCTCCTAGATTTATTGAATTTCGAGTCCCGCCTGCGGTTGTCTTGGTAGGGCCACACTAAATGATTTCGCGGGCCTTATACGGACCCGCAGGGCCACACGTTCCCCACCCCTGATCGAGAGCAAGGGGTGGGGGGGGGGGGGGGTCTGGCCGGTGACCTGCAGCTCTTTAAGGACTGCTGCTTCGTGATGTTATTCACATTCATTGGCGACTTTGAAAAGACTGCGTTTTTTTTTTACAGAAGTCGAAAAAAGTGGCTCTCATTTGGTTTCCAACCCCTGACCTATAAACTTGCCGGGGAAGCTTTTTGAAATGTCTCTGCAGTATTCCCTCGTTCTTTGCGAGGGATACATTCCGACATGCTCGTGAACAGCACATTTCGTGGATGATGTTGGCCTACGAAAACCTATCTTTCTTCATGAATTACCTAAAATACATCTTTTTTTCTCTCCCATCACTTAATGTCACTTCTTTCTTTCTCTCTCAATGCAGTCGTGTAGAGTTCCAGATGCGATTCGCGGATAGCCAAAATCGCGGACAGCAACTTCGTGGACGAGTGAATACTAGTGTTTTTTTCAGAAAATACCAATAAAACAAATGTTCAGGGTCTCAATGGGAGGTGGGGCGATTATTACCCACCCTCCCCACCATTCTCTTGGATCCACCACTGCATCGATGGTATTGTGACCGTTTGAAGTGTTATAAACATATTAAGTGTTCTAAACAGTGACACGTTGATTCATTAAATACAATCGATTAGGCACACGAAGCATGTATGTTGAACTTCTTTCGCACCGTACGTAGCCAACCTGCATGACATGGGGGGGGGCAACCAGATCAAGCGCACTGCATCCAGCCATGGCCAAGTGTGGTGATATCGAAACAAGGCCTAGGAACTCCCTCCCCCATTTCACCAACGCGCAGAGGCCAACATGGTGAAGTATGGTCAAATAACCCCCACAACAGTGCAGGGAGTTCTTCGTCCAGCAGTGGACAGAAAATGGGCTCCAAGTCAAACTAAAGAATGCTCACGGATAGATTTCACAACTGTGAATGTCACACAAAATAAAAGCGTTTAATGTCGAAAACCGCCATTTCAAATGTTTTGTGTTACACTACACAACATTATGCAATTGTATATTCATTGCAGTTTCGAAAATCTATTTAAATTCTATATTGCGAACATCACTGACTCACAAATACTTATTCAGTTTGTTGTCAATGTCTGTGGTTGGGAAAACGAGTTTAGATTCTTTGAGCAGTCTGCATACTGGACACGTGTGCTAACCAACAGCTTTTGTCACGTCTGTTGCGAATGTGCAGCGTTATTATTCTCCTTGAACCACGACTGCTGTCAAATTCTCCACAGTTCTTTGGTAAAAGTTTTTTTTTAATATCAATGACAGCACCAGCATTCACAATTCAACCTTTCCCCCATTAGACCCTTCCTTTTTTTTTCACTCTTGTTAACTTTCTGACTTAATATCTTCATTAGACAATATCAGAAAATAAATAAAACACATTTGGGCCGTGGACGATGTTTAAATTCGGCACGACAAACACTGTAAACTTTGTGTTAACCTGCTCAGGCTAAGCGAATGAGCAGGTTTATCGCTAATGCAGTGACTATTTATACGGGATGTGTAGTAGTACAGGAGAACAAATTATTGTTACAGCTGCAATATAGAAAACTCAATAAACCAGTCAACCATGCAGCGTCACAAGACCAAGAGGACAATCGTGGCCAAAGCCAATGTCTCCACACATCACCAATGCTTTCTATCTTATTATCAGATCCTGCAGCCACTGCACAGTAGACATGTGACCTCCAAGACCTGCCCTAACAGTCTCCCCAACATCTGATGGTGGGCTCGTGGAGACCACTCCAATGCCATCTCGGTAACCTCCCCTCCACCGCCCTGCATACGTCCCCCTTCCAAGCGCAACCGTTTTTACCAGATCAAGTCTACAACACTGATCATGTCTACAACACTGATCTGCCACGTTCTCTTCTGACGTTCAACACTCGCTTATCCCGTCTTGCTGCGGAATTCTAGCGTCCGTCTCAGACCCCTGCGCTCAGACAGCAAAATAATTGATTTTCAGGGGGGCACGCCGCATGTTCACAGCACTGCAAAACGCACTAACGGAGGTGGGCAGCGTTTCCTCCTCCTGCGTGTAACGGACCGACCGACGTTTGACATTCTGCGCAAATTCTCAAGCCTCGTTGGGGCTCGCCACCAAGAGCCCATCGGACCAGAGCGAGAGGACGAGTTGCTCGCGCTCGGCGTCGCTTGCGAGCGGCAGTTCCCGGACACGCACGGTCGCCCCCGTCATCAGCTGGCGCAGCGCGGGCAGGTGAACTAGGGCCAGACGCAAACCACGCACCTGCACGGGGAATCAAACACACGTGCGCACGCACACACAAACACGGGGCTTCTGAGAAAAAGTACATCACAAATTCGCCCTGACCAATTAACAATTAACCGCCAACACCCAGTGTAGTTTTTGTGCATGGTGCAACGGTTCCTTTTCTATACAGGTCTACAAATACAATCTTTTGACATACAACTAATATTCAGGAGTGTTGTGGAGAATATAAATTACAAAATAAGCACATAATGTATTCTTCGTATATATGACCCTCTACATGAAAATAATATATTCATTTTTTTACACGACCACAAGCCCTTCTGGAAGCGCATTATTTCAGCAGCGTTTATTAAAAACTCTGGGCCAGTTTCAATGTACAGTGTCTCATCAGTAGTCAGGCTTGATAGACTCAATGTTAGTTAACTGCCAGATGTTAGAAGTACCACCACTGTCTGCCCATGACGTTTGTTGCATGCCAAACGCCATTTTTTTAATTCTCCAAGAGCTAGAATAAGCATAATTACAAAGAATATGTATTTTAATAGAGCTTTTCTCTGTGGCCATAGATAACCAGGTTTAGACGATCAACTCGAGTACCCAGTTTAACCTTGAGTCGCTACCCGAATGTTTGTGTCCGATATGCGACTTGTCAAAGCCAATAGGGATCAAATACACGAGACACCATTAGTGCCAACGAGCGTGCGCACACATTCACAATGATCACCTCTTCTGCCTCCTCTGTTGGTGACCCCATCATGTGCCTCTCCCTCGAGTTGAGAAGCGAGTGGTAAACAAATACCACCTCGCAGACCTCTTCACCCTGCCACAGGTTTAACACGCGTTTGGGGCACATTGAACATTTGATAAATTTCCTTTCCAGTGTAATAATACTTAATAATTATTATTATTATTTTCTCAAACCTGCTGCGTGAACAAACTGTTGAAGCGGATGTCATGGGCGCGCCCGTACACAAGTGCATGCTCCCACCTCCTCGCGCGGCGGCTTGTCGACTACTAAGGCCATGTGGTCTGCGTGCAGCATCCTCACCCAGTGCTGCAACTTGGGGATAGGACCAACTGCAAAGAAAGCGTTAAACCCGAGACGAGCAAGCCAGTTTCGCTCGCTGCGCCGACAGCTTCAGATGAACGTGGATTCATAAAAAACAAATCTGATATTCTTAGGTTTTTTCGGTAAAGTCACATACGTCACATACGTGACTTTACCGAAAAAACCTAAGAATATGAATCCTTGCAGTCACGAAAGCGTCAAATCTAAAACAAATCTGAACCAAATGTCAGAGGTTCCCGACCCCCCCCCCCCCCCCCCCCACCAGTTAAATGCATATTTCTACAAGGAAGCTACCAAAAAGACCCAACCGATGGGCCCTTCCGCCAGCAGCCGCACGAGCAAGAGACATTGCAGGGCTGCACTTTCACCTTTTACAAAAATAGATTTGCTTTCAGAAAATAATGTAAATGACCATCCAAAGGCCGCAAAAGTCTTGTTGCTGTGAAATGTCCCTGTAAATAATTCCGTACGCTCGACTGCAAATTAAGTACCCTGACAAATGACCGCCATTTCACATTCACCAACAATGAACACTCCAACAATGTAAGATGGCGCGGTGTTTATCACACTGCACTGCCCACCTGGCGACCCGAGTTTAATTCCCGCCGATGGCTAACATCAGTTGGCGTGTGATATCTGAAGTGGTTATGGGCTCTGAATGACCAACCCACGAGGACCATCATGGTGAGGTATGATCAAACAACAGTTCCCTTCCACCCCATCATAAATGGCAGATTGGGTTTAGAAAGGCCATCACCGGCAGTGAATTGAACTGAGGTATAATTATTGTTGCAACGTAATTTGGCCCATCGGTCTTACAAATACTGTTTTCAAATGGATTTAACCCCTGCAAGACATGGTTGAGCAAACACAAAAGCCATTTTTCTACCATAATGCACCATTAAAGTTGAGCCAAGTCTAGCAGTGCAAAGGGCTGTGCGTTTTAGCTCTCCACACTCCCTTCACACTTGTGTGACTCCAGATCAATTGAACAGATAACGAGCAACGGTGACTGCTGCTCCAAAGCACTCCCCATGCCATCAACTGCATGGC